CTTATAATTTACTCTTCAAAATATAGAATTTACCTTTTAAAACTTAGATTTTACTCCTCAAAACTTTGAATGTACTCTTCAAACTTATAATTACTCTTCGGAACTTAAAATTTTGTCTTCAAAACTTAGAATTTACTCTTCAAAACTTAGAATTTGCTCTTCTAAATTTAGAATTTACTCTTTAAAACTTAGAATTTGCTCCTCAAATCTTAGAATTTACTCTTCAAACTTAGAATTTTCTCTTCAAAACTTAGAATTTACTCTTTAAAACTTAGAATGTACTCTTCAAAACTTAGAAATTACTCTTCAAAACTTAGAATTTTCTCTTCAAAACTTAGAATTTACCTTCTAAAACTTAGAATTTACTCTTCAAAACTTAGAATTTACTCTTTAAACTTAGAATTTTCTCTTCAAAACTTAGAATTTACTCTTCTAAACTTCGAATTTATTCCTCAAAACGTAGAATGTACTCTTCAAACTTATAATTACTCTTCGGAACTTAAAATTCTGTCTTCAAAACTTAGAATTTACACTTCAAAACTTAGAATTTGCTCTTCTAAATTTAGAATTTACTCTTTAAAACTTAGAATTTGCTCCTCAAATCTTAGAATTTACTCTTCAAACTTAGAATTTTCTCTTCAAAACTTAGAATTTACTCTCAAAAACTTAGAATTTACTCTTCAAAATTAAGAATTTGCTCTCAAAACTTAGAATTTACCCTTTAAAACTTAGAATGTACTTTTCTAAACTTATAATTTACTCTTCAAAATATAGAATTTACTCTTTAAAACTTAGATTTTACTCTTCAAAACTTAGAATTTCCTCGTCAAAACTTAGAATTTACCCTTCAAAATTAGAATTTACTCCTCTAAACTTAGAAGTTACCCTTCAAAACTTAGAATTTACTCTTCAAAATATAGAATTTAATCTTCAAAACTTAGAATTTACTTTTTAAACTTAGAATTTTCTCTTCAAAACTTAGAATTTACTCTTCTAAACTTAGAATTTACTCCTCAAAACTTAGAATGTACTCTTCAAACTTATAATTACTCTTCGGAACTTAAAATTCTGTCTTCAAAACTTAGAATTTACTCTTCAAAACTTAGAATTTGTTCTTCTAAATTTAGAATTTACTCTTTAAAACTTAGAATTTGCCCCTCAAATCTTAGAATTTACTCTTCAAACTTAGAATCTTCTCTTCAAAACTTAGAATTTACTCTCAAAAACTTAGAATTTACTCTTCAAAATTAAGAATTTGCTCTCAAAACTTAGAATTTACTCTTTAAAACTTAGAATGTACTTTTCAAAACTTAGAAATTACTCTTCAAAACTTAGAATTTACTCTTTAAAACTTAGAATTCACTCTTTAAAACTTAGAATTTACTTTTCAAAACTTAGAATTTACTCTTCAAAACTTAGAATTTACTCTTCAAACTTAGAATTTTCTCTTCAAAACTTAGAATTTACCCTTCTAAACTTAGAACTTACTCCTCAAAACTTAGAATTTACTCTTCAAAACTTAGAATTTACTCTTTAAACTTAGAATTTTCTATTCAAAACTTAGAATTTACTCTTCTAAACTTAGAATTTACTCCTCAAAACTTAGAATGTACTCTTCAAACTTATAATTACTCTTCGGAACTTAAATTTCTGTCTTCAAAACTTAGAATTTACACTTCAAAACTTAGAATTTGCTCTTCTAAATTTAGAATTTACTCTTTAAAACTTAGAATTTGCTCCTCAAATCTTAGAATTTACTCTTCAAAGTTAGAATTTTCTCTTCAAAACTTAGAATTTACTCTCAAAAACTTAGAATTTACTCTTCAAAATTAAGAATTTGCTCTCAAAACTTAGAATTTACTCTTTAAAACTTAGAATGTACTTTTCAAAACTTAGAAATTGCTCTTCAAAACTTAGAATTTACTCTTTAAAACTTAGAATTTACTCTTTAAAACTTAGAATTTACTTTTCAAAACTTACAATTTAATCTTCAAAACTTAGAATTTACTCTTCAAACTTAGAATTTACTCTTCAAAACTTAGAACTTACCCTTCAAAACTTAGAATTTACTCATGAAAACTTAGAATTTACTCTTCAAAACTTAGAATGTACTCTTCAAAACTTAGAACTTACTCTTCAAAACGTAGAATTTTCTCTTTAAAACTTAGAATTTACTCTTCAAAACTTAGAATTTATTCTTCAAAACTTAGAATTTACTCTTCAAAACTTAGAATTTACTCTTCAAAACTTAGAATTTAATCTTCAAAACTTAGAATTTACTCTTTAACTTAGAATTTTCTCTTCAAAACTTAGAATTTACTCCTCAAAACTTAGAATGTACTCTTCAAACTTATAATTACTCTCCGGGACTTAAAATTCTGTCTTCAAAACTTAGAATTTACCCTTCAAAACTTAGAATTTGCTCTTCTAAATTTTGAATTTACTCTTTAAAACTTAGAATTTGCTCCTCAAATCTTAGAATTTACTCTTCAAAACTTAGAATTTACTTTTTAAAACTTAGAATTTACTCTTTAAAACTTAGAATTTACTTTTCAAAACTTAGAATTTACTCTTCAAAACTTAGAATTTACTCTTCAAACTTAGAATTTTCTCTTGAAAACTTAGAACTTACTCCTCAAAACTTAGAATGTACTCTTCCAACTTATAATTACTCTTCGGAACTTAAATTTCTGTCTTCAAAACTTAGAATTTACACTTCAAAACTTAGAATTTGCTCTTCTAAATTTAGAATTTACTCTTTAAAACTTAGAATTTGCTCCTCAAATCTTAGAATTTACTCTTCAAAACTTAGAATTTGCTCTTCAAAACTTAGAATTTACTCTTTAAAACTTAGAATTTACTCTTCAAAACTTAGAATTTACTCTTCAAAACTTAGAATTTACTCTTTAAAACTTAGAATTTACTCTTCAAAACTTAGAATTTACTCTTCAAAACTTAGAATTTACTCTTCAAAACTTAGAATTTACTCTTCAAACTTAGAATTTTCTCTTGAAAACTTAGAATTTACCCTTCTAAACTTAGAATTTACTCCTCAAAACTTAGAATTTACTCTTCAAAACTTAGAATTTACTCTTTAAACTTAGAATTTACTCTTCAAAACTTAGAATTTACTCTTCAAAACTTAGAATTTACTCTTCAAAACTTAGAATGTACTCTTCAAACTTAGAATTTACTCTTCAAAACTTAGAATTTCTCTTCAAAACTTAGAATTTACTCTTCAAAACTTAGAATTTGCTCTTCTAAATTTAGAATTTACTCTTTAAAACTTAGAATTTGCTCCTCAAATCTTAGAATTTACTCTTCAATCTTAGAATTTTCTCTTCAAAACTTAGAATTTACTCTCAAACTTAGAATTTACTCTTCAATTAAGAATTTGTCTTCAAAACTTAGAATTTACTCTTTAAAACTTAGAATGTACTTTTCTAAACTTATAATTTACTCTTCAAAATTTAGAATTTACTCTTCAAAACTTAGAATTTACTCTTCAAAACTTAGAATTTTCTCTTTAAAACTTAGAATTTACTCCTCAAATCTTAGAATTTACTCTTCAAACTTAGAATTTACTCTTCCAAACTTAGTATTTACTCTTGAAAACTTAGAATTTACTCCTCAAATCTTAGAATTTACTCTTCAAACTTAGAATTTTCTCTTCAAAACTTAGAATTTACTCTTAAAAACTTAGAATTTACTCTTCAAAACTTAGAATTTAATCTTCAAAACTTAGAATTTACTCTTCAAATCTAAGAAATTACTCTCCAAATCTTAGAATTTTCTCTTCAAAACTTAGAATTTACTCTTAAAAACTTAGAATTTACTCTTCAAAACATAGAATTTACTCTTCAAAATATAGAATTTACTCTTCAAAACTTCGAATTTACTCTTCAAATCTTAGAATTTTCTTTTCAAAACTTAGAATTTACTGTTCAAAGCTTAGAATTTGCTCAACAAAAATAGAATTTACTCTTCAAAACTTAGAATTTTCTCTTCAAATCGTAGCATTTACTCTTCTAAACTTAGAATTTACTCCTCAAAACTTAGAATTTACTCTTCAAACTTAGAATTTACTCTTCAAACTTAGAATTTTCTATTCAAGACTTAGAATTTACTCTTCTGAACTTAGAATTTACTCATCAAAACTTAGAATTTACTTTTCAAAATTTATATTTTACTCTTTAAAACTTAGAATTTACTCCTCAAATCTTAGAATTTACTCTTCAAACTTAGAATTTACTCTTCCAAACTTAGTATTTACTCTTGAAAACTTAGAATTTACTCCTCAAATCTTAGAATTTACTCTTCAAACTTAGAATTTTCTCTTCAAAACTTAGAATTTACTCTTAAAAACTTAGAATTTACTCTTCAAAACTTAGAATTTAATCTTCAAAACTTAGAATTTACTCTTCTAAACTTCGAATTTACTCCTCAAAACTTAGAATGTACTCTTCAAACTTATAATTACTCTTCGGAACTTAAATTTCTGTCTTCAAAACTTAGAATTTACACTTCAAAACTTAGAATTTGCTCTTCTAAATTTAGAATTTACTCTTTAAAACTTAGAATTTGCTCCTCAAATCTTAGAATTTACTCTTCAAAGTTAGAATTTTCTCTTCAAAACTTAGAATTTACTCTCAAAAACTTAGAATTTACTCTTCAAAATTAAGAATTTGCTCTCAAAACTTAGAATTTACTCTTTAAAACTTAGAATGTACTTTTCAAAACTTAGAAATTGCTCTTCAAAACTTAGAATTTACTCTTTAAAACTTAGAATTTACTCTTTAAAACTTAGAATTTACTTTTCAAAACTTACAATTTAATCTTCAAAACTTAGAATTTACTCTTCAAACTTAGAATTTACTCTTCAAAACTTAGAACTTACCAAAAGGAGGATATTAAGGTTATCCCGGCATGCATTGCTAACAAATTGTATCATCTATATAAACCGGTCCAGCATGCTTTGCGCGTCTCATGTAGATTTCAAAATGAACGCCATAACGGTGAACAAACAGGGAATAGGCTTTCTTGAACCGACAGATATCTTGTATCTTTATTGTGTTGATTTTCAATTTCTACTCGACTTTACTATTACTTCGCTGCCGTTTATGGAGCTGGAACTCGTTGGTGGACATGTTAGCTTTCCTGACAAGTTACACGAGAGGAGAATTGTACTTTTTCCAAATGGGGATATAATTCGTAACCTGTCGCAGCAAACTTCCCCATGTGCAATTGAAATCGTTACTTGTTGTCATATCACGGTAAGATGTTTACTTTTTATCAACTATATTTCTGGTGTTTTGGTATTGTAGTATGGATATTAGCCTTTTTTATTGTCTCTTGAGAATCCAATTTCAACAGACAATTCCCATTATAGACTAATTTTAAAACTAGGCAAGGAGATGCAAATAAATCACCACAGCTAGAAAGAGCATACTAAAATTAGTAAAATTACAAAATTTGGTTGCGAAATGTTGTAAAATGTGGAAAACATAGCCTTGCAAAGTTTGCAAATTTTGTATACTTTTGTATTGCGTGCGACATTTTCGGCCTAAATGTGGTAGGAATGTGGTAGGAATTTCCGCAAGCAATACAAAAGTATACAAAATTTGCAAATTTCCTAGGGCTATATTTTCCCCATTTTACAACATTTCGCAACCAAACTCTGTAATCCTACTAAGTTTAGTATGCTCTTTCTAGCTGTGGTGATTTGAGTTTCCTTGCCTAATTTTAAAATTAGTCTATAATGGGAATTGTCTATTGATATTTAATAATAAATAATAGTAGCAATATTTTCTCTGGGGTTTAATATAATATGCATTTGGTCCCCATGGCCCATGGTAATTATATATTTGTGCATAAGCAGCTCAAAGATGTACGTGTGTTATCTTAATGTGCGATGTGTGTGGACCAATACTAGGGTCATGTATCAGTCCAGTCCTGTCCATTCTGACCCCCCACCCAAGTACACCCTTGTGTATTTGTAAGCTTATTTATGCTTGGCCGTGCAGGGGGGAGATAATCCCTTGTAAAATTACTCAAATCTACTTGTCATCCTGGGGCTGTTGACATTAGAAAACAAACTGCAAATGCTTTGAGGTGCGTGAGGGATGGGCAATACTGGAATTGTGATGCAGGTATAGATTGATTCCTTTATTAATTGATAGGTTGGTTCTCGTCAAGCAGTACTGGTTTGGGATTTCATTGTGAAGGATGACTTACAACCTGTTTCAACAGTTAAAGCTGTTCTACCAGTGGAAGATGACGACTCTTACCCGACATTGCCATGGCTTGACATAACCCAAACTAATTGCAATTGCAACAAATACCCAACATGTGGTCTCATTGTGCAGAATAGCTCAAATGAATCTCAGTATTTATATGATGGTGGCCATTCTGATGATGGTGGCCATTCTGAAGATGGTGGCCATTCTGATGATGGTGGCCATTCTGATAGTGAAATAATTGAACATGCTGTCAATGATCACAATGATAGTTCAGTAACTGATGATGGACAAGTGAACATGGAACACTTAGATCACGTTACAGAACATGAAGAACAACGATATACAGAAAAATTCAAGCTGAAAGGAACTAGTTTTCATAATCATTTCCAAAGCGCATTACGACATTTTAAGTTCTGTCAACTGAGTGAACTAGAACCTCCAGCACTATCACTACATTTTGAGCCTGTAAATAAACGGGATGAAAATGCGATTGTCGTCATTGCAGAAATTGATGGTACTAATGATCCTATAGGATATATACCTGGTTCAAGAGTGGAAAAGATAACCAAGGCACATTATTCACATCAAATAACTAATATACAGATGTCAGAAATTAAGAGACAGTACAATTTTTATGTTGGTGGTTTTGTCTATGTCCCAGTTGTGTCCATAACAAAAACAGGAAGATGGCCACCGAACTCTAATAAATATCGTTATAATTGTACATTTTAATTTTACAGAACATTTTCACTCTTGTAGTTTTGTGACAATAAGTACCTTCCATGATCATATATTTAAACATTATTTATGTTAATTAACTTTGTTCATTTTCCATGATAGGGGGTAGGCAAACTTCGTGGCGATGTAGGCGTTGCCTAATTGTAGGACAGTTACGGGATGGTAGAAATGCTCTCCCTGGTGCAAATATAGAAGCATCCTCCCTCCTGTTGACTTTCAAACGATGCAGGCGTAGTGGATGGTGTCTTTCATCAACATTCTTTTCAACATTTGGTTTATGATCAAATGATGGGAGATCTTCTTCTGTGTAGCGTTCGTTTAGTGTCCAGTAATAGAATGGCAGTGTGTTGTCCATCCTCTTACAGAATTCCCTGAATAAAAACATATGCTCACCCTCAATATTTTGAATTAAAAGAGTTGGGGTCCAAAGTATCAAACTGATGTTTTGAAAAGGCTCCTCCCTGGGGCAGAAAAACCTTGCATCTGGAATAACTAAATCTGGAATATTACTTATAACTTGAATGTCACACAATATCATCAGACCCCCAGGCCACAGCACGGTAATAAAATATCCTCTCTCTGGGGATGGCGGTTGATGTCGAATTTCCCACCTACAGGGGTATATATGATGTCAAATCCTTCAGGATTTCCCATTCTCCTCCCCTGCGGCTTAACATTGACAGGTGCATTACACACAATCATAAACATGTTAACCCATAAAAGCAAAGAAGCATGAGATAACTGCAATGTGACTTACAAGGTCTGACATGAACCGTTGGTGCATTTTCTTTAATGAATTGTGCAGCTTTCTCCCAATATTTATGTTGCACTCTCATACTTGGCCAGTCACTACTGGTAGGTTGCATATCTCTGTAGAGGGCAATAAACTCAATTAATGACTTATCTTCTTCTGACGTCCACACATTTCTTTTTTGTTTCGGAGAGAATGTTAGGTGAATGGCGCCCCTTGGCTCTTGTTACGAGGTATTTCGCTGCCTGTGAGAGGGATTGATATAATTTAATACTATATTAAACAGTCATTATTCATACTAATTAATATTAAACCATATATACATAACATACATAAATTTTATTACGGATTAACGTAAAATCATTTGCTTACTCTCTGGGCAGGAGATGGCTGCTTTGTAAAAGTTAATTTTTTAGCTGATTTTAATGGACTTGGACCAACGAGAGATCTTTTCCTCGGTGGTTTGTGGGGCGTGCTACCAGAAGGGACATAGCTTCTTTTGTCTGCGACGTTCGCAGCATCTTCGTTTGTACCGTCATCCTAAAGCAATAATTGATGCAATAATTATGACAGACAGTGCGCATTATACATGAATGAGTGCGAATTGACCACTTGCGTATAAATAGACTAAATTTTGATCTAAACAAGTCTAGACAAAAATTTCATCACAGCTTGAAAGAGCATCACAAAATTATTTATAATATTCCAATGTTTCTTTGCGAAATGTTGTAAAATGCGGATAATATAACCTTGCGAAGTTTGCAATTTTGAGTCATTTTGGATAACAAACGGGAAATTGACAGCCCAACTGCCCTTTCATGGCTTTTTTTACAAGACTTCTATCGCGAGTTTAATGGCGCCACATGGCGCATTTTTAATACTGGCTGGCCGGCGCCGACACATGAAGCATTATTTTGATGGTTTTCATTTGTCAAAACGACTGCCTATATTGGGGTCTTTTAGGGTCTTTTTTGTATGAGTGAGAAGTAAAAATACCATAGTGTGTTAGTGTTTAATGTTTGTTGGAAAAACTCCAAGCGTAGTGTAGATATTTGCAAGTGCGTTGTCAGTATTTTTGCGAGCTAATGCTGCGGACTACCTCGCTTGCTTGGGACCTTGGATAGAAGGTTGGAAATGACGTCGCGTTAAGTTGTTTTGTGTTATGAGATGCATTTGCATGCTTTGCTATAACTATTAATATGTATAAGATACGGTTTACTTACCATATTTTGCATTTCTTGGTCACATATAACGTCATTGAGTTGACCATATGAATTATGCATGACCTTTCGCCATGTTTGTTTTGCGCTAGCTGGAGTCGCGAGTGGTGACGCGAGGCATGCCGGGATAACCTTAATATCCTCCTTTGTGCTGAACCGACTTGGCCAATGACCTTGTTAGGGAAACTGGCTAGTGATGATCGTGAACTTATCGAAAGTACCCAGGCGAACTTGCTGTTTGATGTGGAAACATCCAGTTTCGATCAATTGTTGAAGAGATATTCCACATGGGACATATTAAAGTTAAAATCGTGTGGCTAACAAGATTCAAAAGTCATCTTAGAAATTGTCATTCAACGAATTGTAGTTCTTCACGTGGGAAACCCTACCTCAGCTGAATTAGAAGATGCAGAACACAATATTATAAAGATCATTCAGCGAAAAGAATACTCAGCAGAATTTCAAACCCTCTGCAGTGGAAAAGACAAGGTGAAAGCATCCAGTAGTATTGCGAAGCTAAATCCATTTATTGGTAAAGATGATCTACTTCGGGTAGGAAGTAGATTAGAACATGCTCCTCTAAACTATGATGCAAAATTCCCTCCCATTCTACCAAAACATCATTGGGTCGCAGAGCTTATCACAAGACACATACACAATAACAATGCTCATATCAGGCAGGAGCATCCGTTAAGCCTACTACGTCAAAGAATTTGGATTTGTCAAGCGCGGTCCTTAGTTAGAAGAATTATCAACAAGTGTTTCGTCTGCAGGAGAGGACATGCACCAATGTTGCACCAGCAGATGGCAAATCTACCACCTTGTTGTGTCATTGCTTATGAACCCCCCTTTACCTACATCGGTGCAGATATGTTTGGACCAATACTTGTGAAGCAAGGTCGTTCAACAGTCAAAAGATGGGGATGCATTTTCACGTGTATGTGTTCCAGAGCAATCCATTTGGAAGTTGGCTCCATCGTTAGAAACGGACGATTTTATAAACGTATTGTGACTATTCATTGCCAGGAGAGGGACACCCCACGAAATGCGTACTGATTGTGGAACAAATTTTCGTGGTGTTGATAGTGAATTGCAACTTGCTATAGCAAAGTGGACTGAAAATCATCTACAGGAGAAATTATCGCAAAGAGGCATCACCTGGATATTTAACCCACCTCATGCACCACACTTTGGGGGAGTTTAGCAAAGATTGATTAAATGTGTCAAGCGTGCGTTGAAAGCCATTTTGAAGGGATCTTAAGTTACGAATCATGTCTTACAGACAGTGTTCGCCAAAGTTGAGTCCATCCTGAACTCATGTTCTCTGACGAAATCGAGTGAAGACGCAAGTGACGCAACAGCTATTTCACCTGCTCATCTCCTGCTTCAAAAACCCGCAGTTGTTTTGCCCCCCGGAGAATTCGACCAAGAATCCGTATTTACAAGGAAAAAATGGAGACAAGCTCAAATATTGGCGAAGCACTTTTGGAACAGGTGGATAAGAGAGTATCTAACGACGTTACACCTTCGACAGAAATGGATATAAAGTGTGCAGCAAAATGTTCGTGTTGGCAATTTAGTGTTGGTTGGCAACAAAAAGATATCACGAAAGTATTTTCAGGTAAAGACAATAGGATTAGAACAGTCGAACTAAAAACTAAAGACTCAGTCTTAGTTAGACCTATTGTTGATGTGTGTTTTTCAGAAGAATGCAATACACAAACGTTTAATTATTTGAAAGACAATGATAAATATATGTATTATTGACTATTGTTTGTGATATCGCGTCAAGATTAAGATTGAGTAGTTTGAGAACTCCTCATCGGCCGGGAGTAACTAGACGCGTTGTATGAATGCATGAGTGCATGCACCCATAATTTGTAAGTAATTTAATGTAAATTGATTGATATGTAAATAAGTTGTGAGCATATATATAGAGACTCGGATATTTTGTGTGTGTAATGATAAATAAAATTTGGAACCCAAGCAATGGCAGCTACATGAATGTTGAGTAAATCTTTGAGAATCTACGCAACATATAAATTGATGTTATGCATTAATACAGGCATTCAATTAAGTGCCGATATTATTTAGTCGGTATATTCATTATACAGAGCTAGGAAGGAGCGAGACTGTTGTTTTCAAATATATAAACATTTCGGACATGAATATTGAGAAAATCTTTGAGATTCTATGCATTCTATGCAATATATAAATTGTTGTTATGCATTACCGGCATTCAGTTAAGTGCTCATCGATATTATTTAGACTGTGTATTCATTATACATTGACTGTATAAGGTGCTACACCACAGAATAGATGGCTACACCACAGAATAGATGGCTACACTCAGTACAAAGAGCGAAAAATTGCATTAGGTCAATAAAGTGTAAACAACTATTAAACAGAGGCTGGTGTTTGTATGGCGTTTAGTCATTTATGAAGAAAATAACTTGTGAGACTAAACTCTAAAGAAATCAGTTGAGTCAGAGCTCTTTATTTAAAAAGAAAGACGAGGAGATAGCCAACGTGTTATCACTAATCGCTTGGCTCGCCAACAAGCTTTATGCAATAAAAGAAAAAGGCAAGGAGGTAGCCAATGTGTACCGTCACAGACCTTGTTTACTGTCTAGTCTGTGTAGCACAACGGTGCAAACTCGCATTCAGTGCAGCGATAACACTACCAGACGACAATCAATCTGTATACAGTGCTGTATCAAAGCTTGTCAAAACTGCTATAAACACTGCTATAACTGTGAAACTATTGAAATCTAAAGTGACGTTGAATACATGCGAAAAGCTGAGAATGACAAAACGTGACATTGGGAATAAGTCAAATGTCAATGAGACTTGTTATTGTGAAACATGTCACAATTAGATTAAAATGCGGAAGCGGATCCACAGAATGGATATGGGGATAAAATACGGAACGGATGGGGATAAAATGTGTCCTTTTGATTATGTAAGTTGTAGTGCTTATTATTCATAACATATCTTATACAGCTATTTCAATTAAAGTTGTCACTGAAACAATAGTCAAATGTGCAATATGGGCACTAAAAGGATGATGATAGGAATAATCATAGTTTTAAATACGTTTAGCATATCAGTAGCCTTGTGGGGATGCTTTAAGCGACAGCTGCAAATGATGAAGTTTTAGAACATGCAAAATTTGGTTGTTGGTGAAACAATTTAAATTTCGAGTTGTTGCATGTAGCATCACAATAAATAAATAAACTGTATCAGTTCCAGGTTTGTTTCAAATGTTGCGCTACTCATGTGCCGAACGCATTAAAAACAGTAGGTAATGAGATGAAATGCCTTTGGTAACTGTTTATTTTGTGGTGTAAGCCATCAGCTTTTCTAGGTTTTTGGGGACCCTATATAATACTTGCAGTGTCTTTTTCAATTTGAAACTTCACACTATCCTTGGATCCCTAGTTGCTTTTCCGTTTTATCAGGTTGCCAATAATTTTCCAGGTTATTTTAAGATTATTTTTATATTTTTTTGAATTGAGAATGGTAGATGTATTTCTTATTTTTTAGTTTTAAAAATGTTAATATATTTGTATATCTTTTATATTTGTTAATTTTATATGGGATTTTGCTCAAAAAATGTGTGCGATACATTCTTTGCTTTTTCTTAATAGATTTCAGAATGCCTGTTGTAAGCCACGGTTTATTAAATTATTTCTGTTCAGTTTGAGTAGCTATTCTAACTGGAGCTTGTTTATCTACTATTTTATTGATAGTCGATATGGCATCTCTTGTTTTGTCATCTAAGGATTTTGATGGAGACACAGCTGGAGAAACAATGTCAGGATGAGGGTATAGGCCCTCACCGTTATGGACATTGAATCCCATGTCCGGGCTTGGCTTTCCCGTGGTAAAGTGAGAGAAACAGAGAGAGCCAAGGTCAGGTCGAGGGTAAGGGCCCCCCGGCATTATGGACCTTGCTCTCCTTGCTGGTGTGTGTGCTTCACCGTGGGCAAAGTGTGGCCGAATGGACACCACCTTCCGCCACATATCGAAACGTAGAGCACTTTCCATTTAATGGCCTGTCCGGTCAAACCGAATTTTTTTTTTACTCTGTATCAATGGAAAGATCTGGACTGTGTTCTCAAATATCTAGCGAGAACGGACCTCATTCTAATTTTTATCTAAATTTTTCTCATTGGATAGATCCGAAGCGCAAAAGTTTTGTGTTTCATTCAACGATTTGACGTTCTGACCGGTCTGGCCGTGTTAATGGAAAGTGCCCGTAGTGTAGATCCCCCGTGTGAAGCATGCATGGGAGATAGTTTTTTCAGAAATGAACCAAAGTATGGATATAGGATGTTATAGATATGTTAATATTGATTGCATAATAAGTATATATAGTAAGATTTAAGGATTAAGTACTGAAGCTAAGTTTTTGAGGAACTGAGTTAATTATTGTTCCTGGTGTACAAATGTACAGTTTACAGTTTGTAACTGTCTGAACGCCATCGACCTAGAGTTTTAATTAACCACGGTGGTAAGTTCGCTGCCGCAGCAGTTGTAGCTGCTCCGATTCTAAAACTATGCGGAGCGTATTCGTTTTCTATATAGCCTAAAATATTCAAGAGTTCTCTTAGATTAGCACTAAGTATAGTTCTGGTGAGTGATAAATAACTAAGTGATAAATAACGGTTCATCAGTGTTTGTTGGGTTTCGTTGCAGTAGATACTCTAGTAAGGCGATGATGACAGCACACACTGACGAGTAACTTTTTGCAATAGCCAGAGTAGTTCCTTGGCGAAACGGATCGGTTTTCGATTGCTTTATGCATACGTGTAGAGATTCGGGATTTTTGATGGTAGGATTAAAAGCAACGTCTTTAACGGCGAGAAAAGTCTTTGTGCTTGAGTAGGTAAATTCGCCAACTTGTAAGAAACCGAAGAAGGCCAATGTAAAGGCTGCCCTGAACATGACAGTATCAAGTTCTTTTGAAAAATCGGGACGTAACAATGTTGAAATTTCTGCCAGAATTTGTATGGCCATGAAGCGAGGCGACGAAATACACTAGATTTTCTTCGGTTGGGGGTGGAAGAGGATTGTCTTTTGTAGTGAGGTTATGAACAAAGCAGAAATCCAAACATTGGCAAACTCCAGTTGAATATGTTGTTCATGTTGAGGAAGAGATTGCTTGGCCGAGCAGCGAGTTGACTCATTGGGTTAAACTTGGATCAAGGATTCGGGAATGGCGGTAGGTTCTGGTAAGGCTGTGGAAGCTAGTTGGTGGAAACGTTGCATCTGCAACTGAATTGTTTACACCTGGGACATGTTTGGCATTTAGTGTGAAATTATGAAGTGTTTGAACTGTAATTTTTCGTACTAGGTCCATAATTTTATTAACTTTAGATGATTTTGTTGAGAATTTGAGTAACTGAAACATTATCACACCAAAGTAGAATACGTTTACCCGACCATAAATTGCCCCAAACTGAACATGCGAGGTAGACCGGAAAAAGCTCTTTCCATGCAATGCTTTGCTGCTCTATATGCACGTGAAATTGACTAGACCATTTGCCTTGAAACCAGAAATTATTAAAGAACACGCCGTAACCTAATGCACCAGAAGTGTCATTTGAAAACTCAAGCTCAGGCGAATTTGTGGGCACAATATCGAGAAATGTGTTAGTGCCATTCCGTTGCTCTAGGAAAACTAGCCATATCGCGACGTCCTTGCGAAAGGACGAATTCAGTTTAATGTGGTGGCGTGGCTCAATGACGCCGCATGTAAAGTTTATCATACATTGTAAAAAAGTGCGGCCTGGCACAACGCGGCATGCAAATTGCAGTGTACCTATCAAAGACTGAAGTTGGCGCAAAGTACATGATTTTTTAGCTAACCAGTTTAAAAGATCTTGTTTTGCTTGCTCAAGTTTATCGGAAGGAAGGCTGGCAATAATTTTTTGCGAGTTGAAAAGGACGCCAAGAAATTCGAGTTGAGTAAATGCTGGATAAGTTTTTTCGTGCGCAATAGGAACATTTAGATTTGTCAAAACAGTAAGCAGTTTACACAACGACGTCATGCAGTTTGACCTTGGCGGTCATTCAATCAAGAAAAAATCGTCTAAAATATGCAAAATATGTTGTATGATGTAGTTATTTTTGGCAATCCATTCAATCGCATCTGAAAGCTGATTTAAAATATAAGGCGCACTGCAAAGGCCAAAAGGTAGAACTTGGTCGAAAAAATAAAGCCGCGCCCAATGCATTCCTAATAATTCCCAGTCATTCCTAATAATTCCCAGTCATTAGGGTGGACAGGTACATTGCGAAACGCCGGACAAATGTATGTTTTAGCCATAAATGAACCTTTACCAAGCTGAATAATCGAATTGATAGCGTCGTCGATTTTAACATATTGCAAAGAGTAGTTTTCCTTTGAAATATAAGCGTTAACGCTAGTGCCGGCGTATTTTGGGTGTGAGAGATGGAAAATCGTGCGCCAATCTGAAGAATGTTTTTTCGGAACTACGCCAATTGGATAAATTTGAAAATTTAGAAAAGGTGGGGATAAAAATGGCCCGGCAGTGCGACCTAAAATAACTTCTTTAAGTAAATTTTTTGTAACCAAATCAGGGTGCTCAACTGCTGATTTTAATGTGGCATGCGGGGACCCTCAAAACCAATAGAAAATCCATCGCGAAAACCCTGGACTAAATTAGAAATGAACAAAACATCAGGATGATTTTTAAATTCATGTTGTAAGTAAACTATATTAACAGGTGTTTTAGGTTTGAGGTGGTGAAGGTACTTGTTAAGGTTCTCGTCGGGAATTGTTCGATTCGCCAGCTCTCTCATCATGCTCTGTTCCTGGGTGACGGCCGACGCAGCTTGGTCAGTTACAGCGGTGTTTGAAGGGACAGGTGTTGGAGGCACAGGGGAATTACTTGTAGTTTCGACAGAGGTCATCCCTGGGTCTTGTTGGCGTGGATCTGTTGGGTGCAATTGGACACATGTTAGCGAAATGATCAGCGCTTCCATAGGCATGACAAGTGTTGAGCCCAGGAAAGGGAGACATCGTTTGCTGCCTTTTTACTGAAAGCTATATCATGCATACCAGGCCATGTGCATTGCAAATGGTTTGCTGGTAGGCAAAAAGTTCAGAGGCCTTTTATGGGAAGAAATGAACTATGACATGGTAAAAAATGTTGAAGGCAGTGAGCCAGCGGTCAATGGAATCAATGTGTTGATGTTTTTGTGGAGCCACAGAAACGGGAATGGAAACCCCAGGCCCTCCCAGTGAGTTGAACGATATTCTCAACTGCTCATCGTGACCATCGACGTTTTCAAACAATAAAGTATTGAAGTCAATGTACTCACCATTGCGTATCGATGCAATTGACTTGTCGGGCAGATGAGGCGGGAACAAAGGCGGAGTTGCAGGAAGATCTGGTTCTGGTAAGGCAGTGATAGTGGACACTTGTGGAAGCGTGACGTTGCAAATGGATGAGGAAATCAAGGATTGTAGGGTTTCGAACTGTTCATTAGTAAAACCGCCCCGTGTCGGTTCTTGGTCAGGTGACACTGTAGTTATGGTGTCGCTAATTGGAGGCGATGGTTCAGGATCAACAGAGGGATTCATATTCTCTACTGGTCTTGGTGCATCGCGAAGACTAGCCAGAAGTGTTGCACGCGATCCAATTGCTGGTAGCTTTTGTTGGTAGCTTTTGTTGGTCACAGCGAAGTCGAAGAACTTACAGTTGTAAGCTGGTCCAAATGAGTAACAGGCGGTGTCGATGAAGTCCGACGTGTTGCAGCTGATGATGTTTGTTTCATGCAAGGCATAATGTAGATGAAGAGATATACAAAATGATTGTTTTCAAAACACGAGGATTCCAAACTTTGGAGAGTTTTTCATTGATGTCTACTCAAAGGCAGTTTTGTTCAGAATGAGCTTGAGCAGGTTTTTGACTGGTTTTGCTGATAACCAAGGAATGTAGGCTTGGCAGTAAATGCCATTAGTGTCGTAGACTGGGCAAGGATTGGCAGAAGATAAGTTTAATAAGTTTAGCTGGATATCTGTATTCTTAGCTTATCTTTTGGGATTTTAACAGGTTTTGTAAGTGGGGATGTTGTGCCATATTAACTTATTAAGTCTCATTGCGCCCCCATGCGCCCTGGAATTGGGAAAGGTGTAAGTCTCATTGCGCCCTGGGCGTCACGTCAACTTCCGGGCATGATTTGTCTAGTGCATATTTATCGGGTTGCCTAGCAACGGTCACGAGTACAAAGTGCAAAACTCAGGCTTTCAAACGATACATCATGCGAGAAAATTGATCAAAAGTTTGCGAAGATTTTCAATTTTAAAACTTATTTTTTTACAAAACCTGTCACAACCGCAAAGTGTCACAAGATAGGACTTTGCAGCAAGTTTTAAGGATGAAAAAAAGAGGTTTTTAAAGAGTTTTGCATATAAAATATATTGTAAAACATAAGGGGAGTGTGCATATGTTTCAAGTCAAGTTCTTGTCCAAATCAAGTCGCACGATTTTCAGCCAGAAAAACGGCAATTTCTTTCAATCTAACGGAAAAGTGAAGTGGGAAATCGCAAGAAACATGAACACTAAATCCAAGTGAGTAGTTACGATTTTTTTGAGCGTGTTTTTGAATGAAAAAACCTGGCATGTTTTCATGAAATTCAATATAGCATTAAAGCAAGTTCAATCTAGTTTAAAACTAAGTTTTTAGAAGAACTTTTCGTGCATTTTATGGCATGATTTTGACTGTTTTCGTGACCCTACAGTTGGTCTTCTTGCTCAAGTTGTTATTTTAGCCAAAGTACTTTTAGAAGACAGTAGGTTCAACTTGTCGTGTGTGTAAAACCACATTAAAACTAAGTAGAATATTCTACAATGAATACTATATCTGTTTCTATAAATTTTGTCTCGAAACGAGCTCTCATTTAAGAGATAATGTGGTTTAAAATCAGTGTATTGAATTATGCCGTTACTTGGCACGTGCAAATCCTGAACCTTCCATACATGGATTTGAAAAGCTTCCAAAATACTCTTTATTGCTTCATTATATCCCCATAAAATTTTTAAATCAATAAAGCACATCATAAAATTAATGCACGCTCATTTTCTAAGAACTACTCGTCGATTACCTAAGGAAAAGTTCCAAAATAGGTCAGGACAGTGGTTTACAAAATGCCGTTCTTCTCTGAAATGGCTTCTTTAGCGGGAAACCATTAAATTAATGTACTTTCCAAAATTGTAATTTAGTCGCTTTTGTGGTCTCATTGTTCACTTAAGCTCTTTTAAGAATAATACCTGCAAGATACTTTGCTATTTGGTGAAATAAAAGCTATATTTTTAGCAGTTTATCTTTTGAAAACTGCATGCGCAACAAAGTGTCACCAATGTGTTTACTCTCGTCTGACAAACAACCAAAGATGAAATACACTTTATTTCACTCTTTTATGGCAATCTAAAATGCCTAAATATTAGATTATTCATTTTATTTGAGCATACATATTATATTTTTATACAATTGGTCCTTGAAAAGGACTAGTATTTCAAACTAGAGTTCGATTTCAAACTAGAGTCAGATTTCAAAAGAGACCGCCTGTCTGACATTTTACAGCAACCTACATTGGCGCGCACAATGTTTTAGCCACAAATCCATTGTTTTCTCAACAGAAACAAAAAGAATTTCAGTTAAAATTCTTACCTGATGAATATTCAAAAGTGTTTATCTGTTTTTGACGACTTTCAGTGCTCTTAATAGCGAAATAAAAAGCCTTTAGTTTTGTCACCGCATGCTGTGTTTGAAAATGCCGGCTGTCAAAGTCTGAATTAAAAACACCTCAAATATTTTAAATTTTTCTCACCTTTTTCATCCTTTGTTTATATTTTAATTAGTAATTTTTGTACTTTGTGTTTTTCCAAACATGGAATTACTTCGCTTTGCAGTAATAAATTTATGTGGTGTTTCCACAAACAAAAACAATTATAGTTGAGGTATTTAAAAACTTCAAAGAGGTACAAACGCTGCGTTTTTGGGTTACAGAGTTTTTGGACTTGAACAACAAGTTCTGAAGTTCAAGTTCTCCATTGTAAACTAGATGTCCTGAGTGTGCCTGAGCTATGCCCAAGCAAATTTTTATAGCGTTTGATTATTTTGTAATTTATACCCCACAAGATGAAAACTAATTTGAATATAAATGTGTACCAATCCAGGAATCAAAAAATATTTGGCCATTTATGTTGGGTTAAGGAATTATTGCCCTTCAGATATTGGGTGTCATGAAGAAACAAAATGTCAGGGACTTAAATTTGCACAAAACAAGAATTCTCACCCAAAAATCTAATGATATATTTAAGTGTGGGAGCTCATTTAAAATAAAATTGATTAATCATTTATCATTTTAATCTACTGCCAAATTCCAAGGTTTTTTCCCCGAGCCAGCGGCGCAAAGCGCCGTGCGAGGGTACTAATTCCTCCCGGCTATTTACACCCGGGGAAACGAAAGCATTAGCCAAGTCTAAAGTTCATCAAATATCGCGGGCGTGGGTCACCAACGGTGTTGGGTGGGTGGTCATCCTCACTGATCTCAAAAAGATGGCGGACTGTCATGGATAGCGAACACTGATTGGTCAAATTTAAAATTTGTTGTTGTATGACAAATCACGACTTCAACTGACAGATACTTCATGAAAATAATTTGCTTTTTGCACTACAGTATTTTGTACGTTTGCAAAAAACTTTGACAGCTTTCAAAGCAATTTGCTCTATAAAGAGTTTAATAAAACAATTATGGTATCAAATACCAATTGAAAAGATATGGACTACTGTATGGAGCCAAATGAAGAGCGGCAAGGAAACGACAAGAAAGCCGAACGTCTCGCGAAAAGGAGGGAGCTAGCGAAGACGACAACGTTTGCTTGAGGAGACTGCTGAGGAAAGAGAAGCTCGCCTGGGAAAGCGTAGAGAAGCATGGAAAAAAGACTGCTGAAGCGAAAGGTAAGCAAAGGCTTGTCTTCACAATGCTATGTACCAATGATACTGTAGCTATACAAGTTGAAGTATGATATTCGACCCTCTATATTCGACTATTTCTTCACAATTTTCCAATAAAGAGTTTGTCATGACATGCTCAAGTCAGTATAACCAGACTGTATTTTATTTATATCAGTTATCAGAGCCACGGGCAATTTTATGCTGTCAAATACCGTCGGTTGCAACTAAGGGTGAACAGTTGCAGATAAAACATTCTCTATTCTCATTAAAAAGCCTGTAAAAGTTTCCAGTAGGTCTCTAGCCCAACACGTTCAGACCACACAAAGTTTTGTTACTTATTATTGTACACATGGGAAACAACAAATTAAGTGTTGTTGTTCTTGACAAACATTAAAAATGCTAATCGCGCGAATGTTTTTATGAGCGACTGTTCATCGTTAGTTGCAAGCGACGGTACAACATTCTATGAACATTTTTCCGACTGTGACCGAATGTGCAACGATATATTTTTCAAATTTGTTATGAATTCCTAAAATTTGTTTATAGTAAAACGGCCTGCTCAGCACTCCCTACTCACGATGATTTCATTTAGAAATGCAGTTACCAGGAAAGGAACTGACTCTAAAATATGTAAATTTAAAAGCATTGGCTAACAGAATGAAAGCGATGTGAAGACAAGGTACAAACTTTTATAGTTGCTATTTGTTATAAAATCCTATAAATAAACTGATTCAACAATCATTTTGCCTCGAATTTGCATATTCTATTCTGCATGTGTATATTTTATTTTTATAGTATAAAAATAAAATTGTAATACTATGAAATAAAATACATTTCTGTTTATTGACCAGTACTCATTTAATGTCTTCTTCATCCAGTGGTCATAGTAAATTTCTACTTCTAGCAAGTAAATATTTGACAAGCAGTCTGGAATAAGCACAGGACTTTTAATTCATCAGCCAAATCCAAGTGTGCCCATCCCCCTCGCCCAGCCATTTTCCTGTAAAACACATCCCGGGGGTTGGGCATTTCCACTCGAACCTTAGCCCTGGCGGGGCATTTGAAATTAATAATTTGGATTCTTGCACTTCACTTGTGGAATTAATATTAGAATGTTAGGGTTTGTAATCCAAGTGAGAATATATACATGTATATATTTTGTAATCCAAGTGAGAATATTTTGTAATCCAAGTGAGAATATAGTAGGTTCAATTCCTACCAGAGGACCTTGTGTTGCATTTTTTGCAGTCGTTCCTGGTTAGGTCTTGGAAATGTATATATTCCCACTTGGATTACAAACCCTAACATTCTAACCCTAACATTTTAATTCCAAGTGAAGTGCAAGAATCCAAATTATTGAAGTCCACCTTATCACAACCTGCACACCCGATTACCTAAATATACATGAACTTACGGTTAAAGCTCCACAGCTGGCCTCAGTAGCTCAGTTGGTTAGAGCGCTGCACCGGAATCACAGGGCCGTAGGTTCAATTCCTACCAGAGGACCTTGTGTTGCATTTTTTGCAGTCGTTCCTGGTTAGGTCTTAAAATGTATATATTCCCACTTGGATTACAAACCCTAACATTCTAACCCTAACATTCTAACATTTGAAATTAAGGATTTGGAGGTTTTGCGATCACTGATAACTTGATAATAATATAAAACAAAACACTTCTATCTGCAACTTTTACAATCACTGATAAATTGATAATAATTTAAACCAGTCAAGCTGTAGTTTAAATAGAGAATAATACATGGGTGCACGAAATACCAGATTTATTTGAGTGTTGAACATGAGTGTGCAGCGAACAAGTGATGGCAGCGAGCGAGTGAGATGTCATGTTCAACACAAAAAATAAATCTGGTATTTCCAACCACCCATGTATTTTTCTGTTTATTATATAAAGGACAGTCTTAAATGAAAAGCGATGTTTACAGAAAAGCGATAATTGAAAAGGCGATAAATTTCACATGTGAGATTATCATGAATAATTTCACATGTGAGATTATCATTTTTATCAGTGCTCGAAATCTCTGTAAAACACTATACTTTATATAAAATTTCATAAATTTGAACCATGCTAGAGCATGACAACAGCAAAATGCTCTATAGTATGATGCACAATATTTTGGGAGGTGATCGAAATACATGAACAATAAATCAGAGAGTGTTTGCTTGGAACTCACTGGCGGGGTGGGTGCAACACCCCTGATTATTGCTCATGAGGAATTTCAGGTACATTTCCAGTGCACTTTTAGTACGTACATTTAAGTAGATTTGCAGAAGATTTTCAGGGGAATTCGGGTAATTCTCAGGACATGACTGAGAAAGTGAATTTGGAAAACAACTGTATTTTCGGAAAAATTATTATATGTTCTGAAAATTTTTTGTACATCTGGAAACATTTTGGTAACCCCCCCCTCTATCTAACCTCACACACCCCCTGAGACGAAGTGCTGGCAACGGCACTGAGTATATATCTTTTGAAAACAGGCGAGGGGTTATTGCATGCATGTATTTCTAGTATACTGTTGATCTTGAGATATAGGTATTTTTGTAAAAGCAGTTGACAGAAGTTGACAGTAACTAAAATTCGCCATTTTCCTTACAACTTGGGGAGTGCCAATGTTGCAACAGTCTGCAACTTAATGAGTTAATCCCAATTTATTTTAAAAATAAATTAGTCCCTATCGAGCAAACATGGATGATCCATGACGACGTATTAATGCAAGAAGAGGCTGCAGAGCCAGGCGTACCAACTGCTGCAAGTAAAGAAAAACGATTTCGCTGGGACAAGGACAGGGATTTTCCGGTCAGATAGTTCCGAAGCCCAAATGTTTTGTGTTCCATTCAACAATTTGACCGTGTTCATGGAAAGCCCCCTGATTTAAGAATATTCTGTTAGCTATTTAATATACAAAGTTAACATATAAATCTTATATACATAATAGCCTCTCATTATGTTGTCTGTGCATTTAGGATAGTAATCTCACTCACCATAACTACTAATACCAGATTTCCCCATATACATAACATCTTGTGATATCATGCATTATGCATAAACTATAAAGTCTGTCTATCCTGTTATTTAGCCTCCTTCACAGAGTCTAGAAGCTGTAGATGATGGTCCGACTGAAGCCTCTGCATCAGTAATTGATAAAACAGTCACCAATTTTAAAAAGCAAAAAGCTGAAACAGTTAAGGTTACAGGACACCTTTTTTGGCGTTTTGCGGAAAATCGCTACTGCACGCTCAATATCAGTCCGATTTTCATCAAATTTTCACCAAATGTTCTCCAGTGCATGCAAAATATGGTAAAGTTGTAAAATTAACAAACAATAAAATAATGTAAGAATTATTCAGGAAAACCTTAAATCGCGGTACCGTTACGCTTTTGAGTTATGTTCCTGCTGGTTTTAAGTTATATTTATGAAAATATAATTTTTATACAGTAAAATAGTTGTTCTAAAAAATCGTGTTCGGAAATTTTTGTTTATTTCGTCATTCCGCTGATATGGCGATTTCTTTGACGACTGCAATATATTTCTGAATTGTTTTAGTAAATTGCTCTTTATTTTTAAAATATTCAAAATTAAAAAAAAGCCGAACACGATTTTGAAACTGACGTCTTTAGCTATGCCCTGTGAAAATTTGAGAAAAATTGGTTAAAACCCGCAGGAGCATAACTCGTTTGAAAATCAGTAATTACCGTAAAATTTTTCGGGAGAAAATTGAATTTGAATATTACATTTTCAATGTTTTTATTAAATAACTCTGCGAGTTTTCAACATTTTCCGTTCAAACTTGGTCAGATAGTAGAACTAGTCTAATGCTTTCATGGAAACCAATAAAAAAATTTTAGGCAAAATTAACACTCAAAGGTGTTCTGTAACCTTAAGCCTGCAATTCCACAACTGATTGACAATAAAAGAAAACACATGGAGCGCAAGTTGAGTGCTACTCAACGAGATCAGCTACTTATACAAGAATCAAAAGAGGATTCCCAGTTTAAAAAGGATATGACGGAAGCTATTAAGCAGTCTGATCAGACATTTGCCAATGCAATGCAGCAAATGAGCCAATCTATTATTCAGGTAGCTGAAGGCTTGACGCAATCCATGAAAGTAATAAGTCAAGGTTTCATGCAGCCTGTGATGCAGTCAAACAATCAACAACAAGCGTTTACACCTTATCAGCACCCATATACTGGCCTAACTTCTAGTGCAGCTGTTTATAATAACTTTGGCACACATCAGTTCAACTTTGAAGATGGTACATCACAGATATGTGGTAGTTCTGAAAAAAGTACTTATCATACTCTGTAAGTGATCTAAGAATATTCTCTTGTTGAACACAAAAACGTTTTCATGTTACAGTGTAGTACAGTATGATACATGTACCTTTATGTTGACTGACTTGGTTATCAAATGACAAATAGGTGTAATTAGTCAAGATGAAAAGTTTGTTTTAATTTATATTGATATTTTAATTGTTCTGTTAATTGTTCTGTGCAATATGAAACTTTAATGCATGTTAGTTACAAATGTGTCTGATGTATGTACTGTAGTTTTATGCATACAATATGTATTAAAACTGCAATGTTTGTGCTGAAGGCATTCATCAACACAGATTGCATAATTATGTATGAACCATTTCAATAATAATTGTCAAGGTAAATTATGTGTGATATAGTCTGTGAGGATTGATTGAACAAGTTCACCTTCCAAATTATTGTATGAATACACTTGGTCAGGCATATTTGGGCTTGAGTCTTCGTCTCTTACATGCTGTTGCATCTGGAAGGTCATTTCTTCTTTGTCTATCAAGCAATCCTTGTTCCATTCACAGTAATTATGTAAAACAAAGCAACTATATATGACAGTTGGAATTGAATCAAATTTCAAATCCACCTTTCGAGTAAGAAATCTCCAGCGAGCCTTCAACCTACCAAAGGCATATTCAACTTGGTTCCTGGCTGAGCGAAGCATGTTATTAAAAATGACTTGACAATTATTAGAACAGGATTGGTACTCCTTCAAACAGAATTGTGTTAGGGGGAATGCAGGATCTCCAATAAGATAGTTTGGTACTGCATCATGACCAGGTAGCACTGTTAATGGCTGAACATACTTCAGTTATCACTTTCGTCACTGTACTTTGATGTATACCAAACGTCTTTGCGGTCATCCACAACGAGCCAGTGTCCTTCAAATAATACAATGTGACTGCCAATTTTTTGTCTGTTGTAAGGAATCTAAAATTCGGTGAGTTTGGTTTTGGCCCAATCACTGGGTCTAATTGAGCTACTAAATTGTAAAAATACTCTTTTCTCATTCTCAAATTTTTTTTACAAGTGCCTGGTGGGACATTCTCATGCAAAAAATTTGTCCACCACTGATCCGTTCTTCCATTTGCCACCCATATTGTTCTCCATATTCTACACAGTCTGCGAAGTTTGAGATGCTTCTTTCTTTTAGCCCATTTGTTGTTTTTTGAACAAAAATACGCGCTAATCAGCAACATTCGCTTTTTTGTAAGAGCTTACAGGCAATGGCCATAGCATTAAACTGTAATATCAAGGTTATTATTAACACCCCAAATTGGAAAAAAAATAAGTATTGCGATACATTTCATATTTTCCGCAGCCATCTTTTAAAATTTCCCACTTTTTTACTTCTGGGAATTACAAATGCCAGGAACGTATAGCATTTCAACTCCAGGCTTGTAGCATTTCAACCCTGGGGTTGAAATAGTCCATGTAATTGCAAAAAATTTCAACTCTGTTAACAGGGCTGAGTTCAACCCTGGGGTTGAAAGCGCTCCATGTAATCGGCCCCTAAAAAGGTAGATATTTTGTTGTGTTTACAGAGCAACAACAAGGGCGAATAATGTTCTTGACCAATCAGAGCATTTGTTTACATTTCGGCTTTGAACCAATCACATTGTGTGATTTTCAAAACAAATATAGTGTCTGAAATATAACCCTCGGGGCATCAGGATTTTTACATTTTTGAACCGAAACAAACAAAATCAAGTAAAATATTAATTCTTCTAAATATTTGCCGTTGGGATTAGCGTTTTATGTCTTAGTTTTAAAGTTATTGGCATTCAAACAGCGGCACACACAAGAAGGCCACGACAGTGCTCTAGCTCAAGTCCCCCCGACCTTTTACGTGGCTGTATTTTGTTCTTTTGCGTAAAATTGTGACATTAAAGTTTGGCCAATACTGAAATGGGTTTACAGAATAATTAAACAAAATGTTCTTTGTTAAAAGACCGCGAAAATTAGTAAAGTTTTTCCCCGCGATTAAAAGCTAAACTTGTGCAAAAACTCAAACATCTTTCTCCGAAGCTAAAATGCCAAAATATTTGCAGACATGCAATTGTCACTTCCACGAGCAGCGGAAAAGTAGTGGAGGCGATTTACAAGTGTTAAATTTAGGTAAAAATGGTTTGTCGGAATTGGCCAACACTTTTGTGAAATTTTTGAAGGCAGAATTAGGAATTAAATCCCCAGCAGTGGTAAACGTTTGCACCGATTGCCTTCGAGGGTGTATGAAAAAGCGGGTTTTTACTAAACACATACCACCAAATATTGTTAGAACAATAGAAAACAAGGTAAGAAATTTGAGAAAAGCAATGTGCTAAGACTTAAGTAAATGTAAAACATTTATTTGTATTTCCCTGGGGCCAGTTGTATAATACTCTTAACTTAAGCTAACTGCGTGTTGGATCACTAGTTAACTGTAATTGGCTAAAATTCTCAATAACTAAAGTTAACAAATTTCTATACAACCAGCCCCAGGAACATATTTATCTTTAATATTGTTAGATGTTTCAGAATTAAACCTGAAAAACCTAAAAATTGAAACAATAAAGAAGCAGTAATAATTGGTTTGGAAAATTATGACCCATATGTCCTTAATAATTTAGCTTTGAGAGTATTGCTGCAAAATCCAAATCAGGAGGACCATGATTTATCATTTAATGTTGTTGTTCCTGCTGAGGAGAATGCCACTATTAGTGTAGGTAGCCAGTCCAGCAGTCAGGTTAGTGAAGTAACAATCACTGTGAGCAGCCCAAGTCAGAAGCTTGAGGACTCAGAACAGTCTGACGATGTAGGTGTGACTGAGTGGGCAAAAACCTTTAAAGAGAAAGAAATTCAAACAGATGACAATTATATATTTAACTCGAAGGACGACTATGAAGCACTACTTCAAAGGTGACCTAAACAAAATAAGTAATTATTTTTCAAGTATTCTTAACCAATCACCAGAAATGGATCCAACTAAATTTGAGAAAATCTGCAAGCAAGTTGGAGCAGAAAGCCTATTCAATGTTTTATCGGCTGCCATGAACACTGAGAGAATGTATCTTACAAAACTTAGGACCATGGTCGTTATATATATCATGATATACTCACTGTCACAAAAAGCCAACTAGTTTCAGATCACACTTGCTAGAACACTAAAACAGTTTGGCATCAGTGAGCAAGGTTTAGCATCCTTACGAAATCTTGGAGTTGCTGCACATCCTCGTACCATACAAGCTGCAGCACAATCATCCGCTACCTTTCATCTGAATATTGTTGCTGAGTTTTTTCAGGAAGTTGTACAAAATGAACACTTTCTGGTGTTTTGCATAGATGATTATCATAACATCCATACAATGCATCGCCCCGAAGCTAAAACACAAACCCAACAAGTCCATATGGCCACATTGCTGGTCAAAGTATTTCCAAAGGTTTAAGGCTATTTCACAGGATGATCTGAGCACACCTCTGTTACCAACCACTCCTGTTCAGCACAAACTTCTGTTCGAATTGATTGGTTCAAATATGGCTGGTCTATCTCAAAGTTATGCAACCAATATGCCTGATTGGGTGGTAACTAAATATTATGATCCTGAAGCTGAGCGACAACGACTTCTGTTACACGACTATCAGTAAACAGAGATACAGAAAATGAGATCGATAGAAAACACCAAATTGATTGACAGTCTTAATGTACCTCTAAAGTCGTATGAAGATATCCTCACAGTTTTCAAACACATGTTGTCCAATGGTTTGGAAATTTACCTTGATCGTTTCCTGGCTCCATTCATGGGGGATTGGCCAACACAATTCTTCATGTGTCAACTGGTATACAATCTGGTTAAAGTTTCCTTACCCACCATATGCAAGAATGTTGTCACGCTGATAGGTCCATTGCACATCTCACTGAATTCAAGAGAATGTGTCCTGAAGATGTTCCAACCAATCTTTGCAGAGCTATACTCCTTCCTATTTGGAAAAAAAGCCAAGTTAGCAATGAAACCTAAGCCACGGAGAGTGTCCCTGCTACTCGAAGTTATTTATGGTGGCTGGACACTTATTCGGGAAACAGTTCTTTCAGTTTTCTGCCACTGTAAAGATATTGAATTCCTTACCCTTGTCAACCTTGTTGATAATTATGTGCCTCTTGTATTGAGCATCTACTCCGTAGTATTCAAATGTAATGACTATGGTTTATATTGCAAGTCTCTGTTGCATTGCTGGGTGATGTTTATGGTATTCCGAAGGTGTCACTATGACAAAGCTTTGTTGGTCACTCTATCGGCATTCATGTATTGGGAAGAGAATGATCATCCTATGTACCACAAACTATGTGAAGCATTGGTAGCCTTTGATGAGTATCCCGATGAAAACTTCCATTCTGTACTACGAGCTAGGACTAATGAAACTGACAATGCTGCGAAAATGAGCCTAAAGGCAAAGGAGATAAGATGCATGTAAACATGAAATGCATTTATTCAAGTTGATGTTTGTTCCTGCCAAAAAGTTCAATTTCAGCACAAAAAGAATCAACAAATTGAAACTCAAGGCTGCAGAATTTTTGACGAAGAAGTTTGAAGTACTTCACAATCATCCTGGAATGGCTGTGTTGCTTCCAAGAACCAAGGGACAGAGCAAGTCTGTAACAAAGTGGCAATTACCAAACATGTTTGGGAACAAAACTGTCACAAATCGAGTCCTGCCACTTGGATTTACCTCAGTTGAAAGACCTCCCAACCCAGAAATGTAAGTGTGTAATTTAATACATGTACAGATTATGCAGCTGTTTTAGTTATCTAGCAAATGTTTCTGACAGTCTGACTACATGACAGTCAAATATTTACAGTAAAGAGGTATGATCATACACCACCAGTTTCGTTTTATCAACTAAAACAGCTGAATACCTTCACCTTGTACTCGCACTAAATTTGATAGACTATCGTACATGTAATGGAGAAATGTCCTACCTTCCATTCTCATGAAACAGGAAATGTGACAAGCTCATCTGCAATGCTCATCATGCATCTGCAAAGCTCATCATGCATCCAATGTGGCGCATTTTTCAAGGCTGTGGACACTCATTTCATATTGAGTGCAATTTGCCAGACATCAGTGTTTGTTCTATTTGCAACTCCCTAGTTCAGTCTAAAGTGGTCACCCTTGGCAATACAGCGAATAACGCCGTAGTAAACTTTGACAACGAATACGATGGGAATGATAACAAGGCGAACGATGATGACAGCGAGACAAGTGATGACGATGACGAGACGGGCAAAGAAGAAGACGATTTTACTGAGCCACAATCAGCATTTGGCAATTTAATTTCACCGATTGGCACTTGGAATCATGCTAAAGTTCCCAGGAATTAAATTCTGATGCGTATGCTGCGATTGTGAGTCCACTTTAGTGTATAAATGCATGTCAAGTAATAATCTAACCTGAGAAGCAGCACCTATGCTCGCAGAGGATACAAAATATCATGTGATCAAATGTTTTCCGGATTAAATTTCGTTTTGATTGACGTTTAAAAGTTAAATATTACACAATGATTGTTCCCAGTGCGATCTTGCATGCGCTTGCGTGTGCCGCTGTTCGAATGCCAATAACTTTAAAACTAAGACATAAAATGCTAATCCCAACGGCAAATATTTAGAAAAATTAATATTTTACTTGATTTCGTTTGTTTCGGTTCAAAAATGTAAAAATCCTGACGCTTCGAGGGTTATATTTCAGATGCTATATTTGTTTTGAAATTTTCGCGTTCTGGCGAAATCGCGCAATTTGATTGGTCCAAAGCTGAAATGTAAACAAATGCTGTGATTGGTCGAGAACATTATTCGCCCTTGTTCGGAGCAACTATACCGAGTGCATAACAAGCTGCCATGATATACGATTAATTTTCCTCAGGATCTTACGTAGGATCTTAGGGTCCTAAGTAGGATTTTGCTTGAAATTAAGATCCTAAACGATCCATTTTTCCTATTTAAGATCCTGTTCCTAAAGATCAATATCAGATATTATTTTTCACCCTGCTCGGTTTCTGTTGTTCTTATTGGGGAATATATTCAATATTCCCCTCTAATCAATTTCTGTTTAATAATCCCCTCTAATATTCACCTGCAATTAATAATCCCCTCTAATATTCACCTGCAATGTCTTTGCAGCACAAAAAAATGAGAAAAAAACAACATAACAAAGGCAATATGGCATTAAGAATTATTTCTATTCTGACTCATTAACGCGACCTCGCAGTGTGAAAAATTAGTACGTTATTTTGAGGCACCTCTGGGATATTTGTTTATTCACCTTGGTGCTACACGGCTCGGTGAATAAATCACATATCCCCTCGTTGCCTCAAAATAACCTATACTTATACAATCGTAATTAATATATTTCTACCAGGGGACTGTATTGATGTGTGGGGTCATGGCTTTCGTCTAGATTTTTTAAAGCTTGGGAATCTATAAGATTTTGCAGTTCCTATACCCTCACTGGCACAGCTACAGATAAAGGAATGTCCTCAATTGTGACCACACTTGCTATGACCACACAAAATGTGATTAAAGTGAAATGTGCAAGAACTAATTTGTTCATACAAAGGATACTTAATAAGAACTTATAAGAAATCATTAAGAATCTTAATAAGATCTTGTAAGAAATCTTTAAAAATCAATAAGATCTTGTAAGAAATCTTTAAGAATCTTAAGAAGATCTTATATAAAATCTTAAAGGTTTTAAGTGTCTTAAATAAGATCTTACATAAAATATTATATATTAAATCTTATGTACATCGTAATTAATATTGTATATTAATTCCCGTTTGGAAATTTTCAGTGACCTTTTCTGATAATTGTGATGATGAAAATCTACACATGATTCACAAGCTTATAATGACTATAATATGTTGAAATAATGTACGTAATTATTGCTATTTTGCCAAATACGCCTGTTGTACAAATTAAATAATATAATCTAAGGGAGCGGTCATTAATTATTAGGGGGGGAGGGCCGGTAAAATATCTAAAACGAGGGCCCAAAAATGTTGACCCCCTTTCAAATTAGCGCCCAAAAATTTTAGCCCCCCACAAAATAATAGCCCAGAAAATTGTGACCCTCCCCTTCTTTAGATAGCTTCCTTCCAATCGGTCAAGCATCAAACGGCGACATAATTTCGTGAATAAAATATGGCTATATAGTATAAAACACTCCTATACATGCATTAAATAGTACATCATTTGAAATCTTTATGTAAATTAGTCTATAGCGCTAACTGGCTCGTCCCTTCCATGTCCGGCAAACTCTACCAGATCTTGTGGTCTGCAAAAGGTTGGAAATGTTTTCTTCCTCCTCCTCCTCTTCTCCCGCATCACCTTCATAAATTTGTCCTTCATCGTCGTCGGAATCAATATCATCCTCATCACTTCCAATCTCCTGCACGACAACATCGTCGTCACCAGAATCCTGGTCGTTACTATCTCTGTCATCATCAGAAAGTTGACGGTTATCAGGGACTAGCGACTTTGCTATGTCAAGTGATACGATATCGACTTTTTCTTGCTTTAACGCCCCTTTCGACTGCTTCAAATTTCTCATTGATATATACATGTCCAATACAACAACTTTCAGTTTCTTTATTTTTCCTTCCCTGTAAATAGCTTTCCAGTTGTAATCTTCAAAGGTCTTTCTCTTTTCTTCCAGATTTGCGCGCTTTCTGCTATCTTCCCTCTTTTTTTTTCCTTCTTTCTAGTTCGCGAAGATGTTTCAGGTACTGTGTAACCAGCCTTTTTTCCACCACATACTTTTTGCTGAAGTCTTCCACATCGTCATCGTAATTCATATTTCATGTTGGTCCATACTGGGAAACCTCTGGATGTATACCTTACTGTCAACCAATATGTGACTCAGACTGATATGTTTTTATACTACAGACCATATATTTGTAAGATTTCCGTTTGTTATAGATTTTATTGTACCGCATATTATTGACATGAAACAATGTACACCATATTGCTGAAATTAGCAATGAACTTTACAGGCTTGGCAAGTGAGGAAATATATGAGTATCAACTAGTTGTTATACTTGACATTACATGTATAAAATATGATTTATTATCGTTGGTGAAAGAAATTGTTCTGGTGTTGGTGAAATAAATTTCGTTTTAATTATCTCTGCATGGAAGCCTTCATTCATTATCTGTGTACGGGCCCATTGAATTGGTCATTGAAATATAACTTTTTTTACTGAAATAGGTGCCCAAATATTTGTGGCCCTCCCTTCTAGATGGGCACAAAAAAATTTGGCCCTCCCCAAAAAAGGGGGTCCAAAAAATGGTAGCCCTCCCCCTAAATTTACCGGCCCTCCCCCCCCAATAATTAATGACCGCTCCCTAAGAATTCTATAATCATAACTTATAGTATATCCCTTACCAAACTGACAGACTGACATTCTGCAACATATAGGAATTTGGCCCCATAACATATATGTCACAGTTATGTGACAGATACCTGTTACAGTTATGTGACAGATATCTGTTACAGTTATGTGACAGATATCTGTTACAGTTATGTAACAGATAACTGTCATATATCTGCAACATATAGGAATTTGGCCCAACAACATATCTGTCAAAGTTATGTCACAGTATAGTTTCCCTACAGATAAAATTATCTGTATATTATCTACCAAGCAGATATGTCACATAACTGCCACCAAGTGAAAAACACCAGTTGATTATTTCTGCAGCATGAAGTTCAACTTGTTGCTTCTGTACCATCAAGTTGCTATAATTTTATCTCGTCATGTTCGCTTGAACCCATAATAATTGAATACAAAGAAATACTATCAGAATATTAAATGTATTTATTAATAAATATATAATTATAGGACACACATATAAATAAATTTAAGCCTGTACCATCAATTTTACACCAGAATAATTAGACTATATCCTACACTTATTTAAAATTTCCTAATATTATTGAAGGCAAGGTGATTACAAGCCTATATTCACTGAGCCACAAGCAAAGTGAATATAGGCTTGTAATCACTGAGCCTCAGGCAAGTAATTGTTTTAGTATAATTTCAGTATTGAAAAATAAAGCTGTATTCTGTGACCCCAAAGGTCGCTTAGAAAACTTTTAGTTTACATGAATCTATAAATTTTGATACGCTGAGTACGAATTCACTTGTTGTCACTTGCACAGACCCGCAGTTTTTTTGTATTTTACGATCAAACATCAACAATTTTTATTAAAATTTCCGCCTTTTTGTTCAGGAAACTTCATGTTATATACAGTTATTGTACTAGTCCAAGTCTCTTAGCAGGGGTGTTGCACACTGTATTACACAGTTTGTTATCATTCTTCTGAGAAAAATATACAACAGCAACAACAACAACAAATTTATTAATAATATAAAGAATATTTACAAATTTACACAATTCTGCAGGTAGGAAAAGCTAATCGAGGCAGAAAGTGTATGTAATATTATTACAGAAAATGAGCAAATTTAATTTGTTTTTGTTTGTTTGAAAGTAAATAAGATAATAATCAACTGATCGGATTTAACAGATATTTTCGAACAATCTACTTACTTTGAAATAATATAAAATGGTTAGCAGTAGCTGCTTATTATTTTAATCAGGTTAGGCATATTCACCCATTCCTTCAATAATATTTTATGCAACATCAACTTCAAATTTGTTTTACGTTGCTTTTTTAATTCAACAGGGATACTGTTCCAAATACTTACACCAATTCTTGAGAAAGATTGTTTTTGCTGATTTAATCTCGAGTAGTTGACATAAAAATTATCGCCAGATAAAGACCTAGTGTTACGATCGTGTATGTTACTTACACTTGTAAATACTAGCAAAATATTTTTTTGAGCAATATTGATAAATACATCATGCATTAAGATCATAACTGATTTAAAATAAAGCATATTCTAGGGAATTATTTTAGAAGAGGCAAACGCAGGAATTGTATGTGCTCTATAGCTCATGAAGGCGAAGAGCTCGCTGTTTTTGAAGCTTGCCCCCAAACACATAAACCATAAGAAAGAAATGGGTAGATTAATTCATTAACTGGCAATGGGCCCAGATGCGCCCTGAGATTGGCAAGTGGGTAACTGGCAATGCGCCCGCATACGCCCTCAAATGACACGTCAACTTGCGGGCATGATATTTGAGCACATGTTTATTGGGTTGCCTAGCAACGGATACGAAAATAGAACGCGAAATTCGAGCTTTTCAACGGTGTATCATGCAAGAAAATCGGCCAAAACCTCGCAAAGTTTTTCAAGTTTAAAACCTTAGTTTTTCAAAAATAATGAATAATGGCGATATTGTTGCAAAGAAGGATTTCACAGCAAGTTTTAAAAGAGAAAAAAGAAGACGTTTTTGAATGATTTACAACGAAAATTTGGCATGAAAGGAAAGCGAATGTATTGACGTTTTGGGGCCAAGTTTTTCTGTGAACCATGCGCGAGATTTTCAGCCAAAAAGATGAGGATTTCTCCAAACTTTATTAAAAAATAGAAGTCGGAAATCACAAGAAAGATGAACACGGAACACAAGTGAGCAGATACGATTTTTTAAAGGGTATTTTTGAGTAGAAATATGCGATCAAACACTCACAAAATTCGACCGCATTAATGTTGGTTGAATCTAGTTTAAAGTTATCTTTTTAGACAAACTGTTTATGCAAATTTGGGCGCAATTTTGACTGTTTTCGTGACCCCATTGTTGGTATTCTTGTTCAAGTTGTTATTTTAGCTAAAGTATATTTCAAACGACACTTACTGTGTGCGTATGTGATCTTTTTGACCTTTTTGGCAAGAATACTTCGAGTATTAAATTACACTAAATAAGTAGGATATTCCAAAATCACTGTTATACCTATTTTCATCAATTTAGTGTTAAAATGACAACTCGTTTCAGACGTATTGTGGTTTAAAATAAGTGTATTGAATAAACGCGCTTGCTTGCCGCGTGCGAATATTCAAAAAGTCCGCACTTGAGTTGTAAAGCTTTCAAAATGCATTTTTACTGTTTTTTTATATCCCATATAAAACTTTAAATCGATAAAGCAGATAATAATGTTGATGCAACATCATTTTCTAGTAACTAAACGTTGAATCAGAAGGAAAAGTTATCAAAATAGGTCGCGACGGTTGTTCGCAAAATGTCGCTTCTCTCTGAAATGGCTTCCTTTGTGGGAAGCCATGAAATTGAAGTCCTAACAAAAACTAACCTTAGCAGTTCTTTTGGGCCCATTGCTCACTTATTTATCATGAAATCGCTTCACTAGAACATTTTTAATAATGTCTATGGGAAACTTTGTAATTTTCTGAACTAAAAGTTTATGGTTTTGAGGTGTTTATTTTATAAAATAGCATGCGCGACAAAATGGCACTAATGTGGTTTCTCACGTCTGACAAACAACCAAAGATGAAAGTTCTTATTTCACCCTTTTATAGCTATGTGGAATACCTGAATATTAGGTTATCTTTTTCATGTGAGGATATAGATAACATTTCTACACAATAGTCCTTATGAAGGCTTATTTCAAACTCAAAAAAAGAGATTGTTTTTCAGAGCCAGACTTCAAAAGAAACCGCCTGTCTGACATTTTATAGCAGCCTACATTGGCGCACAAAATAATTTCGGCTTTTAAACCGTTGCTTTCCCAATAGAAGCATGAAAATATTGAAAATACTGACATGTGTTAAAAGTGTTTTTCTCTTTATGATGCTTTTCAGTGCTTTGAGTACAGAAGTGAATAGCTTTTAGTTTTGTCACCGCAGGGTGCCTTTCAAAATGTCGGCTGTCATTGTCTGTGTTAAAAACACCTCAGAAAATTCCCATTTTCTCACCTTCCCATCCCTGGTTTATATTAAAATAAATAAATTTAAGCACTATGTGTCTTTTTAAATATATTTGAAGCAATCAAAAAACTTTAAAGATGTACAAACACTGTGTTTTTGGCTTGCACACTTTGTTGAACTTGAACACTTAGTTACTGTTCTAAATTTCATGTTGTAAACAAGATGCCCCAAAAAAGCAAAGAAGTAATTTTTAAATTTTTTGATAATTTCATAATTCATATCCCAAAAGATGAAAATTGGTTGTAATATAGATATATATTAATTTAGTAAATGATTTTTTTTTGTTTTTTATATACATTTAAGTGGCGAGAAAGTACGTTAAAAATGTGACTTTATTTTTGTTTTTTCAAATTCTCTTCTGCAAGTCCAAGAAATAAGTTTTTTTCTTTGGTGTAAATTTTCCCAGCTTCTTGCGTAGGTACCATAGGCCCTGACGTCAATAAAAGTTCTGCAACTTTGATTACCGCATGTCCTGTGGACTGAGGATCACCAAATATTTGTTCGTTTTCATTTGTTTTCAAGTTACCAAAGACTTCAGTGTTCAATGTGTCTGTATTATAGTTTGTGCACTCTGGGTGAGTTGTTGACTTTTTACAATCTGTTGACTTGGAGTAAAAACGTTGTGAAAGAAGAGGCATACTGATTACCTGATCACTATCACTAGCATCTGCTGGCTGAAAGTAAAACGTTGGCGAGAGAAGAGGCATACTCAAAATTACCGGATCACTATCACAATCGGAACTGCAGAGTAATTCAGCCCTGTTTCTCTCTTCCGGGGTGCTTTTTTCACACCAATTTCTCTTTAGTAGAGGCATCGAAAAATGTATTTTAGTTTCTTGTTCAAAATGCCATTTATTTATTGGTCTTGCCGCTTGTGATTGCACATGTTGTTCTACTGTACTATTTCTTTTAGATTTTTTGACACAAGTAGAATAATTACTCGCTGGGGCACCTGTGCCCTGGCGAGTATAGGTTTCGGCATTCATTTTTAGTGGATCGGCAATCTCCAATAGTGAATCTCCAATTTTCTTCGATAGCCACAAAATAGAATATTAATGAGCTGCCAATTTTTACCCAAATTATCCATAAGACTCCTGCCAATTTTTACCCAAATTATCCATAAATAACCCTGCGCTTTGAGGAAAATTCGGGAAAATTGAAGAAAATTGAACAATTTTACAAGGAATTTTATTTACCAAAATTGACATGGAAACAGCAACCTTCGCAAAATCGAAAATTGCAAGTTTATACGTTTGGCTATAATATATCTTGATTTTTGGGAACAAAGCGATTTTTTCGACGATGTTTACGGTAAGTGAATGTGATTTAATTTCAAATACGCTCACCTCGCATGACTCTGCACCTATTTGTGGTAGACCTACACTAAAAGATGCTGAGCGATTTCGAACCGGGTCAATTATCCACGAATCCACAATAAATTCCAGAGATTGCCAAAAATGTTATACAAAAATTTGCCAAAAATGTGACAAATGTATTACTGAAGTAAACACTACCACTGAAATCAAAAGTATCACTGAAATCAAAAGTACTACTGAAATGACGAATAATACACAGACAAATATACAAAAAACAAACGTAAACTCACAATCAAGTTGCTGTACTGTCAATGAGCACATGGTCAACATGGCCGCCAGTAGAAAGGCTACAAAGAACATGGACAATGCGATATCGTCTGAACAGACAACAATCAAGAATTTCTCAACACTTTTGAGCAAAGATGATATGGAAAACAAGAATGTGTCCACAGATCAATGTATGTCAGGTATAAATATATCTAACAACTGTATTTCTGAATTGAATAACCAGAATATTGAAATAACAGGTCTGTCAAAGCACAATCCTATGCGTATAAAGAAACTTCCAGTGCGATCACGATATGCATTATTTTATAATGTTTGCACACAAAAGCATGATACTGACTTTACTACCACTGGTTGCCAATTACGTCACCGTGACCGTGAACCCAGTAGAATACAGGTAAAATGGTTAACTAGGAAGTTTGGAAAAAGTCGATTGTTGAGAAAACGTCTCAGACATAAGATCAAAAAGTCTGTCCCCAGATCCTCTCATCTTCATTATATAGTAGAGAATATTATGCATTGTGAAGACATTAGGATGAAGTGTATCCCTGATGTTTACTGCCCGATGAATGTTCACAAGAAATGCCGAAGAGTTTGTTCAGCAAACGATTTAAAATTTTATATTTGTGAAGGAATTCTTGCAGATATATTCTATTTATCAGGTTCGACTAATGACTTATATGCACAACAGGTGTACAAAAATGTCAGCCACTTAAAGAATGTCTGCCAGTCGGCATTATGTACAGATATTGAGACAAATCCTGGACCCGTATTCTATATTGATCCCAGCAAGACAATCAGTGCACCATATAGCCAAGGTAATCAGATTATATTTGGAGAAACAGCAGGACAGCAGTGTTTAGCAATGTGTTGTGCCCTTGTATACAACAAAAGACAGAACATATGCTCACCACCAGACCTGGTTAATGTAATGAATATTGGTAATGAACTATATTCAAACTTATCATGTTTAGCACGGCAATCATTTTTATTGTTTACAGAATTGCCTTCACAACTTACAGTATTTGACACAGATTATATTTTTGAGTACAGCGAGAGCTATAGCGGTAATGTAATTGGAGACTGTTCTATTGAAGGGTATCAGTACTGTGTTCCATTTCACAGATCATTTGAATTGCTCCTGCCTGAAAACTATTCTGCGTTCATTTTAACAATTGACTGCAATGCTGTTTGCATATATTCCATCACTGATGGCAAGTATAAAATTTTTGACTCTCATTCAAGAGATATTTATGGCAGAAGTCATCCACAAGGTACATGTGTGCTGTTAGAAGCACCAAATATCAACAACGTAATTCTGTATTTCCAGTCTTTACACGGTGAAAACAGTCAATTTGAGCTAAGAGGAATAAATATTGAAGAAGTACATGCCAATGTTGACCAGAACTTAAACAACAGCATTAGAAATTCTGCCCTATCAGGTAATGCCTCAGAAGAATCTAAAAGTACTGATCTTTCTTGTTTATGTGGACAATGCTGTGCGATTTCATTATACTCGATTTGTTATTCTGTTGTTAAACCTTGTAATTACTGGGATTCAAATACAGTGGCCACAGTTGTTTACTTTGGCACTACTTTGTATAACAACACTGGGATAAATGCATCTCATGATATACCTCAAAAAGTTGAAATATGTGGAACTGAAATAGATGTAAAATTGCAAGCTAATATTCAAGGAATAGTTTATGACAAGGCAAAAAGCAAACTACACATTGAAAGCCTTATTTGTCATACTAATGAAAACACAGGGTTTTTAATTTGGTTTGGAGATTATTGTATTTCTTGCATCTTTCAAAAGACATCAATTAAGAATATGTCATACTCAATATTAGCATATGATGATGATGATAGTTCGCCTACATGTACTGCACATTACATAAAAAACATAAACGACAAGCATACTTTAGTTGATGCTATCTTTAACCTAGCAACCACCAAAATCAAGGATGGAATTGTCAATTATGAAATTCAATTTTTGTCTTGTTCTTCTGAATTGACCAACTGTGAAAGAAAAAGGATTATGAAAAACCACAGGCAAAACTATATAAATGACTTCATTGAACCAGCTCTAAAGAAACAGAAGCTAGAAACAAAGCAGATGAAATACAAAACAATGGATCCATTAGTAAAACAACAAGTTAACTCTAACCATGTAAATGATTACAAAATTATGGCTCAGGAGAAAAAACAAAAAATATTGAAAAACAGAAAAACAAAATATGAAATGTTAGATAAATCAAAGAAAAAAGAACTGCTTACCAAAAATATGAATTATAGAAAAACAATGAATAAAGGACAAAAGCAAAAAGTACTGGAGAATAAAAGGATAAAATATGAAGAAATGGATCAATCAAGGAGAGAAGAACTGCTTACTAAAAATATGAATTATAGAAAAACAATGAATAAAGGACAAAAGCAAAAAATACTGGAGAATAAAATATGAAGAAATGGATCAATCAAAGAAAGAAGAACTGCTTGCAAAAAATATGAATTATAGAAAAACAATGAATAAAGGACAAAAGCAAAAAATACTGGAGAATAAAAGGATAAAATATGAAGAAATGGATCAACCAAGGAGAGAAGAACTGCTTACTAAAAATATGAATTATAGAAAAACAATGAGCAAAAAACAAAAGCGAAAAACACTGGAGAGTAAAAGAGCTAAATATGAAGCAATGGATCAATCAAAGAAAGAAGAACTGCTTGCTAAAAATATGAATTATAAGGAAACAATGGGAGAAGAACAAAAACAGAAAATACTGGAGAATAAAAGAGTAAAATATCAAGCAATGGATATATCAAAGAAAAAGGAGTTGAGTGCTATGAATTCAAGCAAAATAATGTCAAATTGCATGTCGTTGGATCCAACACAAAAAAATAATTTGCTGAATAGAGAGAAAGAAAAATGGATGGAAAAGAAATCTCTAACTCATGACATTGACATGTACATTGAAAAATTTAAAAAACAAATTAAATCAGGCCCATTTTACATATGCTGTGTTTGTAACCGAACGCTATATAAAAAGTCAGTAGTAATCCTACAGAAAAATAAATATCCTCGCCAGGATTGTTTATGCTTCAATGTTCTTTTGATGGCAAAAACTACATCTGCAAAACATGCCATGCTAAATTACTTAAAGGTCAACAGCCTTGTCAAGCTGTGGTAAACAATTTATTTGTTGATGAAACCCCTACTGAACTTGCTGCATTAGAGAAACTTGAACAAATTCTTGTTGCCCAGAGAATAGTCTTTGAAAAAATTGTAATAATGCCGAAAGGACAACAAAGAAAAATTAAAGGTGCAATATGTAATGTACCAGTTGAATGTAGTCAAACATGCAATGTTCTTCCCAGACCACCTGACAGATCTGGGATAATTTTACTTAAATTAAAAAGGAAACTTCAATTTAGAGGTCATGTTTACTTTCAAGCAGTTCGTCCTCAGTTTGTAATTAGTGCATTAAACTGGCTTATAGCAAACAATCCGTTATATAGAAACATTGAAATTCAATGTGACAACATCAGCCCTGAGTTGACTAATTTGAACTGTCCTGTTACAGATCACGAAAACATAGACGAGCATTTGCAAACTAATGTAAATACAGAACTACTTAATGAAGATGCTGAAGAACAAGATGATCCATTAAATGAACACCGTTCAGCTGCAACTGAAACCTGTCTTCAGTCCATCTTGCCAAATTATCCTGTTAACCTGGACAATAGAAACTCTGATAATTCAACAGGTAGAGAAATTTTCAACATTGCACCAGGTGAAGGTAAACACCCAGTATCATTGATGACTGATAAACTTTGTGAGGAACTTTCATTTCCAGTACTCTTTCCAAAGGGACGATTTGGGTACACTGTTGAACGAGACATCAAATTATCTCCAATAAAATATTTCAATGCTCGCCTCTTGCATTATAGTGGGAAATTTGCAACCAATCCAGAGTATCTATTCTTTGCACAATTCATTATGGAACAGAAAAAGATCTCTGATAGTATAAATATAGCTCTTAAAAAAATACATGGGCAGTCAGTCACAGCGTCACAAGTAAAATCAAACAGTCAAGCTTTTCAAAATCTTCTTTTGCAAGACCAAGCATATTTATTTTTACGACAAATTCCTGGCTCACCTCCTTACTGGCAAAAATTCATGTATGAAGTGGTAGCAATGGTTAAACAACTGGGAATACCAACATGGTTTATGACGCTTTCATGTGCAGACTTAAGATGGCCCGAGCTATTTCAGATTATTGCAAGAACGAAAGGAAACAACATGACAGATGAAGAAGTGGACGCTCTGTCCTATCATGAGCGATGCTCAATGTTAAATTTAAATCCAGTTATTGTAGCTAAACATTTCCAGTATCGAGTCGAAACATTTTTCAGGGATGTTTTGCTTACAAATGCAAACCCAGTTGGCAAGATAGTATATTATGCACTCCGTATTGAATTTCAAATGAGGGGTTCACCACATTTGCATGCCTTAATATGGACATCTGATTGCCCAGACTTAACGAATGATACAAAAGATGCATACATAGATTACATTGACCAACATGTTCAAGCATACCTCCCAGACAAAGAAACAGATCCTCAACTTTATGACTTGGTGAAAACATACCAGACACATAATCACAGTAAAACCTGTAGAAAGTATAAGAACGTTGCATGTAGATTTAACTTTGGACAGTTTTTTACTGACAAAACAATTGTTGCTGAACCTTTGGCAGAAGATATGGATGAAGAGATTAAATCCAATATTCTAACTAGACGAAAGGAAATTTTGTCTAAAGTTAAACAAAAAATCGATGATGTGCTAAACCCAAGCAAACCTTCTTATGATCCACATGCAACTCCAACTAACATCCTAAATGATATAGATATTACAGAGCAAGACTATCAATGGGCTATATCATTATCTCCAGACTCTGACTATGAATTGCGCCTCAAAAGACCAATAGATAGTTGTTTTATCAACAATTACTTTAGTGCTGGGTTAAAAGGATTTGCCGCAAATGTTGACTTGCAACCAGTGTTTAATCATTACAAGTGTATTACATATGTTTGTTCTTACTTTACAAAGGATGAAACTGAATGTTCTCAAGCCATCATAAATGCAGCAAAAGAGGCTAAAGAAGCAAACTTAAATGTAAGAGATGGCCTAAGAAAAATAGGTGCAGCATTTCTCTCAACTCGTGAAGTCAGTGCTCAAGAATGCGTTTACAGGTGCATGCCTGAACTCTGGTTAAGAAAAATATTCCCGAAAACTCTCTTTGTTAGCACGGATTTTGCTGAAAATCGTGTTAGATTTGCGAAGAAACAACAAGAACTTAATGAGTTAGATGATGATAGTACTGACATTTTTAAGTCTAACATTATTGTCCGTTACAGTGACAGACCGAAAAACATTCCTGTCGTTAATGATATGTGTTTAGCTTTATTTGCTGCTCACTATTTCAAAGATTACAAAAGTGATTTTAACGAAGTATCTGATTCTCAACCTGAAGTGTTAAGCGATGACTTCATTGAATCTAAAAATATCGAAAATCATAACACTGGACTTCCCGATCGAATAAACTTGTAAACAGCAAAGAAATTATGAAGTGCAGGAAAATTAAAGCTGTCATTCGATATCACACTCCAAACAAAAGAAAAGAGCCTGAAACATATTTTCACCACCTTCTCATGTTGTATTTTCTGTGGCATAATGAGCAGGAACTCTTTGGCGAAGACCAGACATACATATCTAAGTTTTATGAGGCAGATGTTCAAGAGGTAGTACAACGCAACAAAGAAATATTTGAGCCAGATGGTGATGCAATTAATGAAGCACTAGAAAGTTTACGAAACTTTGATGGCGTACCAACTCACTCCTACGATCCAATAAATGACCAGGAAAATGAAGATTTGCGGCAAAGTTTACCTGACGATTCTGATGAAACCGAGTCTTTTAACGAATCGTTGCCACAGCATCTTGCATCAAATCCTGAATCAGTTCAACCATCTTCTGGAATAAGTTCTTATAATCAACCCTTAGAAATCAGTGACGACGATCTACGAAAAACTGTAAGATCATTGAACAACAAACAACGTTATGCATATGACGTCGTTCTTTCCTGGTGTAGAAATAAGATGGCCAACCTAAACACACTTAAACCATCTAAAGTAGATCCGATACATGTTTTTGTTACTGGAGGTGGAGGTGCAGGGAAATCACACTTAATTAAAGCTATATATCATACTGTTACAAAAACATTTAGACATGCTCCAATGAATCCTGCATTACCTTCTGTATTGCTAATGGCTCCAACTGGTGTAGCTGCCATAAATATCAACGGAACAACCGTAAACACTGCTCTAGCAATTCCAAGAGAATGTGGGAATAATGTACCTGCAATGTCTGACCAGAGAAGAACACAAATGAGATTGTCTTTGGCTGAATTGAAACTTATCATAATTGATGAAATATCAATGGTCTCAAACATGGGTCTGCTGCATATTCACCAGAGATTGAAAGAAATATTTGTTACACCTAATAGTGAACTTTTTGCAGGAATCAGTGTACTTGTTTTCGGAGATTTCTTTCAGCTACCACCAATTCGAAGCGCAACAACATTTTCAAATTATAAGAATGATACATTCAATCTACACCATCCATGGCATGTCTTTAAAATGGCAGAACTAACACAGATCATGAGACAAAAAGATGACCTCGCCTTCACTCAACTATTAAATAGAGTGCGCACCGCTTCACATACAGACGATGACATCAGGTGTATTCAATCCAGAACAATAACTCCAGGGGATGAAAATTATCCATCGGATGCATTACACATCTTTGCAGAAAATGCACCAGTAGATGAGTACAATATTGATCGCCTACAACAAATTCAATCACCACAGTACGTTTTAGAAGCTTTAGATCAATTCCCACCTCATGTTAGAAAACAGGATATCGAAAGAGTGTTGTCTAAAGGAAGATCCGAAACTGGAGGGCTTGACACTAAAATCCTGATCAAAGAAAATGCGAGAGTTATGCTCACAACCAATGTGGATATTAGCGATCGACTAATTAATGGCCATTTAGGTACAGTAATAAAAGTTTCTGTTGACAATGTTAGTAATAAACCCTCCACAATTTTTATTAAATTTGATGACAGTAATGCTGGAGTATCTGCTATACGAAATTCGTCCAGTAGTTTTGCAAGAGAAAACAATGTTGTTCCTATCAAACCTGTATTGGCGAGAATTAAAGTCAGACCAGGAAAACCATCATCTCCCGAAATGCAAAGATTACAATTTCCTGTAACTCTCGCATGGGCATGCACTGTTCATAAAGTACAAGGATTAACTCTAGATAACATTGTCGTCAGTTTTGATTTAAAAAAGCAAAGGTATTTTAACTATGGTCAGGTATATGTAGCACTTAGTCGAGCAACGTCCCTAAATGGCCTGCATATTTTAGGAACACTTGAAAGTAAACATATTCGAGCAAATCCTAAAGTCCAGGCAGAATACGAGAGATTGCGTGAAACTTCGAGTCTCCATCCGCATATTACAACAGATTTATGTAACATAGAAACTGTTTCAATTTGTCTTTTAAATATTAGATCATTTAAAAAACACAGTCTTGACCTATGTAATGATCCAATCTTGTCCAAATGTGATGTGTTTGCCCTCACAGAAACTCAACTTTTAACCAATGTATCAAATGATGATATTAGCTCAATCCTTAACGACTTTTCTATACACAGACAAGATCATAATTCTGACAAGTTCTTAAGTCTAGCTGTTTGTTACAAAGACACTGTTACACTGTGTGATACAGAATATTTCACTTCAATAAATGGTTTACGATTTTTACTTAATAACTCCGGTGGGAATACCTTATCCTGTCTACTGCTTTATCGTAAGCACGGATGTGACATTCAGCAATTCATAGCTTGCCTAGATTACATAATAACTAGCTTGGATATTGACGTTATATTTGGAGATTTTAATATTGATTACTTTAATGAAAAGATTATTTCTTCATTGAAAGTACTCGCCGAGTCTTTAAATTATGTGCAACTTGTAAGTAAACCAACATTTGTTTCATCCGGAAGTCTTCTCGATCATGTTTACGTAAAACAGTCAATAAGCAATAAAATGGAAGCAAACGTTGTAAGTGTGTATTATTCAGATCATGAGGCTGTTAAGGTAACTGTAAGATTTTGACAAGTAGTTTCATTAAAAATTTTGACATATAGATTATAGTATTACGCCAGTAGTTTCAATAAACTAGCACTATTTAATTGCAGCAGAAAAACTAATCGAATATTTAAAAATCGCTGAAATGAAAATCCAGTCTAGGAGAGACTGGGATGGGGGATTCTGGTAGATCCCCAAGGAGACTGACGCGAGGAGTCTCCTGCAGTTCCATGCAAACAAGGTATGTTCAATCATTTTTAAATTGAAGCTATAGATGCAACATGTACATTGACTATAGTACACTACAGCTCAAATGCGCTTTAAGCTCAAATACATCACTCAAAATGTTTTCTTTTAGGACTGAAAGTTTGAAATGAGACAGTTCTGGAAATTATCACCAATTATGTTAAGGTATGTCCCAAAGTAGTTATGATTTATACTTAGTCTTCCTATGATTATGTATAATGAGTAAAATGATTTATATTCACTCCTTTAAGAGACAATATGGCCCACTTACTCTGTCTAATGGCAGACGATTTTACTCGTCAAGGGGAGCGCGCTGTCACTTATGGGTTAACGTTAAATCGTCATCTAGTTCATGCAAGGCACAAACAAACGATCTTATCTATACGCTGTCGCTATATCGATGAGCTTATTGTAGCTCTGGGGCAAATCCAATTAAATATGTTTATATATATTGACACACTGTTAAGTATTTTTATATTCAACTAAGACCTGGACCTTAATTATTTTTCTTATATACTGCAATTCTTTATTTTGTAGAAAAATGTTCAACACATCACTTTATACAATGAAATATGTTCGACTATTAATTGAAATGATGAATGATGATAATGTTTACAATGAAATGCTGATGCTCATTAATTTATTTCATCACTAACTTCATTGTGGTGTCTCCACTATTGGAATTGTTCGTGAATTTTTACGCTATTCAATTAATATTGCTATTAAAGTGGATTTTTTGGCGATTTCACATGCAAGTTCCTTGAAGTACGACTGTTAATTCTTCGAGGACAAGACTAACGTATATTGATTGTCCCTCATTATTGATACCTTTACAATGAACATCGCCATCTCTACTGGACCGTGTACTGGTAAATCAATGAAATTGAACTGTCGACACTTCGTAAAAATAAACATTATAAAAGCTTACAGAAATGGTTTCCATGCATTAAAGAACTTGCCAAATGTAGTTTGTTCAGATGCAAGATTTGTTCCGTGATTATATAATCATAATTCATACTCAAACTGAATATTTAAACTTCAAATAGTCCTAGTGATTGTTTCAGAATTTTGTTCTAATGCGATGTATACTGTAGAAAAATCTGTAATTCTTTTATTGCATGATCATACTTCGATGCGTATCTGCAAGTATTGCTAACTGTCAGCTCTTTCTGTACTATTTCTCCTCAATAAAGATTCACTCTAAACTGTATTCGAGTTGATTATACTTACATACATACAAAACTTTATTTAAACCACGCTAGCCTCAACAGCCGTTGGAAGGCTGGTTTCCATGAGGGGCGGTAAACTGTACTAGGTAGCGGCAGCAAAACTTGATGTTAGCGCTACTGTACTAACTTACTGGTAATGGCTACGTTTTACAGTATGTTACAGTCAAAATACCATAACCTTCCCACTTCCACATTTTCTGTAAATTGTTCTGTTTTTCTGTAGCGGTTACCAAATTATGAGCAAATATGGTGACAAAATTTAGTTTTCATTCGTATAGCCCCAGCGAGTTTACGCTCTGTAGAGCGTCTTGTTCTTTTTTGGACTTGCTTGTGACGGCACCCATTTTCTCTGTACAATCTTTCTTCTCGCTGTTTTGACTGAAGCTGAATAATCAAGATTTTTCTCATAGCACAGGTTTTCCTACTCTTGGCTTTTTTACTGGAGTCAATCATGCTCTGTTTGACGTTGCGCTTTTTCCCAACTACATTCCAAAATATAGTTTCGCAGTTCTGTGTGTTAATGGGTCGTGGTCTTGGCTGATAAATTCCATTTAATAGACTAAGCATGTTGTGTCTAGTGTCAGGATAGATAAGATGGATTTCGCATCCAATTGTGGATGACAGCCCCATTATCTGAAGTAAGCCAGAGAATGTACCTAAACAAGCTGTGCGCCTGGCTTCACACTTTAAAGCAGCATCGAATCCGCTTTTGACACACACTGTGCAGCTGTCATTGCTAAAGACTATTGCATCGAAAAGTGAGGCCACACTCCAAGGGCTGCCGTTCTTTGTTTTGAATTCATTAGCTAATAACGTTAACATTGGGTGGTTCTTGTAGAATTCAAGATTTTCAACCAGTTCAATCGTGGTTTGCACCCGAAGTTCAGCGCTCAGCTTCTCTGAACCACACAGTGCTAGACTGGTTGCGTTGAACAAACAGTTACCATCCCCTCTTGTGATTATCAGTTTGACGTTGGATTGTAATGTTCGGGAATTAAACTATCTGCAACTCTATCGACTTTTTCCACGGCGAACAATAAGTTTTTCATAATATCTTTGTCAAATATATTCTCAGATCTGTATAATCTATTTAAACCAACAGACAATTCAAACAGTTTTTCGAATGTACCTTGACCCGATAGTTGATAAAGATCGTTAACAGCCTTCGAAGACATTGCTGTTCGTACATGAAATATTTATAAACTTTAAGAAATTAATTAAGCAATAAAATGTTGTTTATGTTAGGTGATATGTTTCTGCATTGACAAACTTACATGAATTATGACTATTGTTTATAGAATGATTGCCCCACCCTCCCCCATGCACGCATGTTTACCCACAAGTCAAAAGTTTGTGCACATATGCATTTTGCAACGTTTGTGTTTTAGTCATTACTGTAAGGCTATCATGTAGAAAGTTTTGTCTGAATACGGCGAATAGAAATATTTATTTTGATGTTTTCAAAATATCGGCAAAAATATCTGTTTTTGCTCGCATGCTAAAATTGCATGGTCAATAAAAGGAGTAACAGTTGTAATTTGACCTTTACTGGCTTTAGAAATCTAATTTTGCAGTACACTAGTCATTACTACTACAGATTGAAATACCGAGATAAAAGATTTAACGGACCAGCCCGGCTCTGGCTGCGTTTAGACTATGACGCTACGATAAAATTATGTTTTTTAACGAAATTTTAATTGATCAGTTGCATTCAGAGTGGCCAATGTAGTGGTCCGTAGTTAGTACGCTACAGAAAACCACTCTGTTATAGAGTATTAAAACAGAATACAGTCTCAATACTAGAAACGTAGTATAAAATTTTCAACGGAATGTTAGCCGTAGCCATCATAGACTTCCGAAATTTAATATGTGGGTGTAATACTCACTAAAAGCTTTCACTTGTACAGACATTGTTTTTATTATTATAATAAATATTAATATTCAGTGTAAAATCTATGAACAAAAATGATATTTTACTATAAACCTGGCTCGACAGACGGTCATGAGACAACAGAATAGGCTTTTAACAGCATGGGTGGGACCATACAGATTATAAAGTATGTTATTGAGTAAATACACTAGAATATATTTCATTCAGTTAATTGCATGGCCATGGCCCATGGGCATGGGAAAAGTTTGAATTGAACCAAAAATAGCTTAACAGGCATAGTCACTGTATTAACTTTCGCGTTACTGGTAGCGGAATGTTTTTGTGTATGATTTGTACTCACTCCAGACGATTGTCCATGCTTCCCTTTCTTTGTTTCAGAATTGAGAGAATTTACAGCTATAAGGATTTTCAAAGTTTGATCTTTTCCGTATTTTCCTTCAGCATATTTATTGACTTTCAAAATGGTTTCTTGTCTTAACGAAATAGGAGTGTCTTTCCAAATAAACGAATATCTCGTTGGGAAAAGCTTGAGATTCTTTGCCCCTTGTAAGCGTATATTAGAAAGAGTAGTGTTTTCATCTACCTTGTCCAGGACTCCATACTCTTTGCCTTCCTTGTCACAAAAGGATATTTTGTACTGCATAATTTGTTCAGCAAACCGTTGTCCAAATATCCCGATACGGTCTACTGTACGGTCTATAAACAGCTACAGTATAATTCAGTAAATATAACCAAGCTTCCGTGAGGCGTGAATTTAAATTTGAATTTAAAAGTGAAATTTACAACTTTTTGAAGATCGTTAAGGGGTGGACCATTAGAAATCCCGGGAGGGGGGGTATAACATTTTTGTGGCACAAATTTTTTTTCAGTCTCATGTCACTGCAGGAATTTGTTTTAATGCATTTAACCTCTGCACAAATTTTTTTTCAAGACTATTTGTACTTGCTGTTTGCTTGCACAATTTTTTTCCCAGGCATTTTTCTTTGCACAAATCTTTTTTAAATTTTCACCCCCCCCCCTCCCGGGATTTCTAATGGTCCGCCCCTAATGGGCTATCGCTAATTACTTGTGTTCCCTTACTGGTCGAGCAAAGTGAAAGTTGTAGCAAAATGTAAACAATGCAAAATTCCACTGAAACTTTGTTTAACACGCTCTCTAGCCTCTCTTCATAAACCAGTGTTGAGATAGAATTAAGAAGTTGCATTCAATTTAAAGGCGTATATGTTTCCTTCTTACCAATTTTCTCCATAATATTACACAATACACATGAATGCAAATATGCAATAGTTCTTTGTATTATAGTGCATGTTTTCCACAAACTATTTGAGTTAATTATCGATATCAAAATTTGTAAGATCTCGCTAGTACTATCATTCATTGATATTTATTTATGCAAGAGTAACCTGATGAATAATACTCCAGCAGTTACAAGTATATAATTCCCGAAGCTCAGCCTATGGAATCAAAGGGCTTGGGCATGTGGATCAGTAATATTAAACACATATTAAATAGACAATAAATGAATATATTTCCATCACATCCAAAGCACATGTAATTTGCCGCTTGACGTGCACGCCATGTCCGCTGAGAGTTAAGTTGAGGCTGAATGTGGCTGAGGTGTTTAAAACTTTAAATTGTGCGAAAAATGGACGTGCAACTTGTACAAGAAAATGGTGATCAATACCAGGAAACCTTTAGCAATTCTGTTACATGTTCAAGAAGAAACGTATTTGGCCAACGTCCGCAATATAATTGCTGAGGAGGTATCAGACTTCATGCCACCCGGTAAATATTACTTTTGTTTTGGAGGAACAGTTGTGAGCAAAGTCATGGAGAAAGAGCTCAGACTTAAGCAAATTCTCGAAAAAAAGTGATGACGCGTCATTGCACGTAGCTGTTCTATCAATAGATTTACTTGATAATGAAGAAGGCAGCCAAGGTGAAGTTGGTTTGAAACACGAAGGAACACAAAGCCTGTCTTTTGTGTCGGCTGTCTTTGAGACTGGATACGTACATGATTATGAGTCATCCAACCAACAAACTCCAAATCAGTGGCCACTTTTGATATAAATAGCAACACAATTAGCCAAGCCGAGAACCTACAGCAGAGTTTTTTCAAGGGTTTTTTAGGGCTGTTAAACGGCCGTTAAACGGCCCCAAAAACTCAATCTTGAATTGAGTTTTGAAACTCAATCTTTCACCAAAGTTTCAGTGCAGTAAAAATGAAGTTGTTTGAGTTTAAATTTGTGACGTGTGGAAATTAGTTTTCAGTTGGAAACCCGACAATTAAAAAAATGGCTGGAATTAATCTCACAACACAAGAAAAACTATGCATTCGCCATCTTTAACCAATTTAGAAGATTGAGTGCAGGTGTCACCCCCCCCCCCCTCGCTAGGGAGGGCGGGGTGCAGCCACCCCAGCTGTTCAGCTAAACTCAATCTTCTCTGCAAAAACGGACCCAAGAAAAAAGCCCTGTACAGGAGTCATCAATGCAAGCGACATCCTTGCCAAGCGTATCTTTGTTGCCTGAAACCCCAAAGAATTTCAAGAAAGTACTTCAGCTCAGGTCACCTACAACAACTGAAATACGCAGTTTAAAAATCTACACTGACATTGAAATAAAACGAGGAAAAGGTCAAGATCAAGCATACAAATATTTTGGAATGAGACGGTAAGAAAAATGGCCAAAAACAGAAATATCTCTAACAAAGAAATCTATAGGCGTACTAATGAAGAGTGGAGACTTCATTGTTCGAAGCTTCTGGTAAACCATGCAGGCAAGGAAGCCCTGGCCAAGGACCTGGTGACACCCAAAAACATGCAAAAAACAGAAGATGGACCGAAAGCAAAGAAGATGAAGGCTGCAACAGTGCCGTCCAACATTTCTCGCGTGAAAATTGCTTCGGCCAAGATAGAAAACTTGCAAGCGGAAGTAAAATACAAAATATTAATAACATATTTCCGGTGGTCGGGACCCGACTTCCATTGGGCCTGCAAAACGCATGCGCAGAACAGACTTTATATGTACTACGTACAGTATGTAATTATATGAATTTATATAATTTATACAATGGTTCCACTAAAATTGGTAAATAAATGATTGTCACCTATTCCACAGTCTTGGTGTGCTGAGTGGTTATATAGCAGTGTTGTAACGAGTCACCTATAGGTCGAGTCACGAGTCGAGTCATTTCAGTTTTTGATCGAGTCGAGTCAGTGGCTTCACTCGAGTCGAGTCAGCGGCTTCACTCGAGTCAAGTCGAGTCACTGATTTAAGTCGAGTCGAGTCAATTTCTAGACTTGATTTGAGCTTGACCTAGCTTGCAGTAGGAAATTAGTAATCAAATTTGCGTTTTAAACTAATTACTTTAGTCATTTAATAACAGTATCTGGGCAGCTATAGGCTGTGCCAATATCACAGTTCTAGTCAATATTAAGTACAACCACATCAGATGTCTCATCATGCCTGCTGATCGAGTGTACGTACATACAACTAGCAAAACTTGCAACTGGAGTCAGAATTAACAAAGAATAGACTTTAATTAACAACGCTTTGTAAGTTAATTTGAAATTATATAGCCCTTCATAAATACCAAAAATGAAAATAGCCTGTCAGAATTAGTATATAAGTACAAAACAATTTGAGACTCAATTTTAAAAACTGTGGCACTAGCGTTGTTTCTAAAATCAGAAATGTAATATAGGTATGCCCGTCAGGAATATATTCTATGCAAATCCCATATATTTTCTGATAAAGTTTCGAAGTTCTCATTGTTTACAGGGCTCATTGTTCTTCCCAAGCAATACAATCACAATAATTGTGATGAATTTATTCTGTACAAGTTGTAGCTTAGTTGACTCGAGTCATTTAAGGCAAAATCAGCAAGTCGAGTCCGAGTCGAGTCATTTGGGGCTGTTGACTCGAGTCGAGTCATTTTTCGTATTGGACTCGAGTCGAGTCGCTGAAAATAGCGACTCGAGTTGACTCGAGTCAGAGTCAATGACTCGACTCGTTACAACACTGTTATATAGTAATACTACCTGAAAAAAACAAGTAGAAACTCAACATTGGCTGCTAACTCTTGACGAACGGCCTTCGCTAGAAATGTCAAATTTCTGCTTGTTTTTTTTTCAGGTAGTACTATATATAAATATCAGATGTTCATTCTTGTAATGGCCAACTGAGTGTGTAACATTAAGTAACAATTGTATTTGAAGTCAAATGCTCAACAAAAACAACTTTACTTTTTCAGAATAAGACTACTAGAACC